AGAAGAATATTCATGCTTCTTTTATCTACAGTTTAGGTAAAGAACAACATAAACTACATTTAAGTGTTTTTTGCAAATTTTATCATGTTACTTTATCGAGCCATCTTTTTCAACTTTGGGGGTGGGAGTCTCAAAGATAGGTTTAGACATTGCACAGTTCAGATCTTCAAAAACCATCTCTTATCATATGAAGTTTATGTTCTAAAACATTTCTGAAAGTATCTGCATTGTAGATATCTTAGACAGCATCTTTCAACTTCCTGTCTACTCACTTTCTAACAGGAAAAATTGGGATGACAAAAAACTGCATCTCCCTGACTCACTTGCAGTATATTTAATTCCACCGAACACATGCACCTAGAGGAGATTGAAAAGCAGAAATGCTTCGGTAAACAAAGGTCACTTGGATGTTGGTTACTGAGGCCAGCCTCAATATTTTCATTGTCTAGCCTGTGGGTGTTAAAAGGAGGCAGAGGAGACAGTTTTGATGAATGAAGCAGCTTACTGACCATTGCTGTGCATGGTGCTCAATAATACATAGCAGCTCCTTAATTTTAATTCTTCAAGTCCTTTCAACAATTTTATGTGCATCCAGGTCCCTATACAGAAGCCCTTATGCTTGTACGAAGTAGAGTGTTTTTATGTCAGCACTGAAGTCTGCTACACACATAGGGTGATGTATTTTAAAAGTTTCTATTTCCTTTCTTGATTGTGTTTTTCCATAGCCTTTTTCAGGCTGAAACATACCTAATAATATTGTAAAATAACCATATTTTTCCTTTTCATACACTGTTTCTCTTTTTTTAAAAAAATTTTATCTACTTATTTATTTACTTAGAGAGAGAGAAAAGGAAGGAGAAAGAGATGGAGAAAAACATCAAAGTGTGGCTGTCTCTTGCATGCCTCTTACAGGGGACCTAGTCTGCAACACAGTCATGTGCCCTGACTGGGAATCGAACCAGCAACTCTTTGGTTTGCAGCCCACAGTCAATCCACTGAGTAACGCCAGCCAGGGGTCATACAATGTTTCTTAAATGGTAGATATTTATTAATTTTTTGCACCATAGATGACTTCAAAAATATAAAAACAAGAGATTATTAAAATAAACCCTGATGCACCAATTGTCCAGTTCCAACCATTATTAATTGATGGGCTAGAATTTTATATCATATAAAATTTCACCCACTATTCCCTAACATAAGTCATTATTAGCAAAGTGTGATTTATTGGTTTCATGCAATAGAGGCTCATTAAATTCACAACAGAATTTAAGCCTAAGGTTCTTTTACATCAACCTAGTAAAAATATAATTGGATAAAGTATAATAATATTCTATAACATAAATAAATGTATGTTAGATGTACATAAATACTAAAGAGTTAATATATAATGAAATATCATAGTAAAACTGATATATTAAATAAGCATCTGGCATATCATATGCTTTGTACATGTGCTACTGTTTGGGACTAGAGTAGTAATATCATATGTTTTGCCATATTTCTCTGACTATTTTAAGAAGACATGACATATGTGCCCCCATCTCTACAAGATGTCAGGTCATTATCAATTTCTCTAATTATCTCAAGAAATTTTTACTAGTTTCATAACAAGTTTCAAACTCACTCCTTTTAAAACACATTGCTCTAACATAAAAATACATTGGGAGAATTATTAAACTCTAAAGAAAGATACAAATTAAAAACTAGTACTAATTAAACATGTCTGTCTCTCACATATGTGCACACACAATTTGAGCATTTGGGGACTAAGAGCTTGTATGTTGAACTGATTTGTAAGAGCCAACAGTATTTTATGTATTCAAAAGTAAAAATGACAAGCCAACAGAAAACTAGTTACAAGAAAGACAAACTTGTTTTTCAACACTAGCTCAGCAGCCCTCCCCCACATGTGCTAAGCAATCAGCTGCTTCTGTCTCTGCTTCAGTGGATGAGCACTGGCCTTGTAGGAAGCGATATTGGCATAATCAGTTCTCGTACAGTGATGCACAACCTCACTTTACTGTGACTGCTGGGCTAATAACACAGGTCTCCCAGGAGCATAGAAATATCAGCTTTCCCATCACTCACTGCACATGAACATGTTTTGCCTTTCCTCTCAAAAACTAAAACCAAAACAACCACCACACACACCATTGAGTTTTACCAAACGTTTTTTTCTGCTTTTACATACATATGATAAATACATTGAACATTATAATTCGAAACTTTCTTGTGTAAATATTTTAGGAAAACTGATGGTCTAGGAAGAACTTTGTTTCTTTTTAGCACCCATTCATGGAACTGTCAAAGACACACTGACCCAAGCAACAACCAGTTTCTCAGTATCATCATCATGTAAGCAGAACTGTGGTTTCCTTTTATTTTATATATATGTATATATGTAATATATGTGTGCACATAACATATATGTACATATGTGCACATATATATCATCAGGGTTATGAAGTTTTAGATAAAACAAAATTAGTAAATGCTCAATAATACAATAGACTCTACAACAATGTCCTAGATAAGAAAAATTCCAAATGCAAAATAATTTGCAATCAACTCCCAGATCCACAGAACATCTGGCTCTCTCTTACTGGATATTTCATGAGCCATACAATCATGCAGTTCAACATTCTACAATTTATTCTACCTCACTTATATATCAAATCAATGATATATCAATTTTATATATGAATTCAATGTTCTATAATTTTTTGTACCCCATTTGTAGCATGATGTCAGGATTTTCTAAAATTCCTCTTTGTTACTAAGAGTAATCGATGTCTAATTTGGCATCTTGAAATCTCCTTTTCAGGCTCTTTCACCACCAGCTTCTCTCCCCCCATCCCCACCTATCCTATCGCTTTCTCAGTGAGGGTTCACTAATGCCATCCAACCTGGACTGCTCCTATCCTAAAAATTTCCCTTCAACATCTTCATCGTAAAACTTACCTACTGACTCATTCCCCAGGGAATTATTGTACAGGAAAGATCTGGAAATCTCACTCACATTAAGTGTTAATATCTGAGAGGAATTAGTCTGTTACCCCATACATGCTGGCCCTAAGACTTGCATTTTAACAGAGGACAATTTCTTCATAACTCAAAGGAATTGTAATATCTCTAATGATGGGATTTTAAGCATCACCAACACTAGTGGAGGAAACATTTGGGGTAAGAACACTTATCACCAAACCATTATTCTTGAGATGACTATATTTTTTACTACCTGGACTTTAGCTGAACCTGGATAGAAGCAAATATTCATGTTTGAACAACAATAAAAGCAGAACTAAATTTAAAGAAAAAATCTAAGCTGTTGAACAACCCTATTTCTTAATGGGATACATTATTCTCTCTCAATATTTTTATATTTCCAAAGTGGTGTTACTGTGGTATACATCTCCTCTCAATTTCATTACACCTTCACCAGTATGGCCAAAAGGTCCCCTCAGCTACTCTAAATTTATGGCAGCCTTTGTCCCGACCTTAGGCTCCTGACCTCCTTTTTCTTAGAAAATTTCATGTAGAAAACCTTATAATTTTAAACTATTTCTCTGCTCCTTTGAGGTATAAGTCTTTTTAAAAAACATCTTTCCAGTTTTACAACACAAGAATATCTTCCTCAGGGACCTGGGAGTCATTCCTTTGAAATGTTATCATCAGGAAAGAGAGTACCTTTATTCCCCAGTTTTTGTGGGAGGGTAAGAACCTAACTCTTGGGGGTGCCTTGCTCCAAGTGGTAATACTACAGTACATTGCTGTCATGAGGATAAGAGACAGTTTACTTTTCTTCTGAGTAAGGCTAATTAACAAATACAGATGACCCGTTCCCCTCCCCCATCCCATTTCATCTCTCAAAATCGCTCCTGTTTTTGTTTCAGTGAAATTAAGTTCAGAATAAGTTCTGGTCTGTTGCCCCCATTGCAATAGCCTTGAATAAGGTCTTCCCTTCTGTTTAACTTTATCCACCACAATTTTTTATTTGACATCTGTACATAGACAGATTTAAGTATCTGTATCTAATCTGTTTAATTTGCCCCCAAGAGTATTTTATTTTATTTTATTTTTATTAGGCAAAGAACTTTATTAACCTTTGTTTCAAACTTTATTCAGCTTTAGACTCTTTAGCTTAATCTGCTTCAAAGAATGATTTGTGTAGAAGCAAAAACTGAAAAGAGCTAGAGTGGCCAAGGGTCTAGGACTTGAAAAAATTAGAGATGTAGATTTTATCTGATTCATAAACAAGATTTGAAAAAGCAGTCACAATATAAAATAACAGCTTCCACTAACTTCTTCAAGTTTATCTTCTTCCAAAGTTGACTCAATTCAGTTTGCTTCATTCTTGGAAGCTTCATCAAAATTCTCCACAAAATCTAGGACGTCGTCATCATCATCCTCTCCTATAGCAAGTGGTACTTTTCCATCCACAGATTGTTTGGGCAGAACTTCAGCGAAGTTCCTGGTCAGACTGTCTGCACTGTGCTGATTTCAGATGCTGACTAGCATTTCTGCCAGCTGCTTTGTCTCAGTAGGGCCTGTTATGGTCCAAGTGTCTGTTGCCAGAGATGCCTGAACTTTAGAGTTGTTAAAGTGGATCACTGTTTCTTGGTTTGTGAACATACTTACCTCTTCAATACAAGAGATGTTGGTTACCCCTAACTTCTTTACAGAGAACTGAAGTATTTTTAATCACCTACTCTAGCTGTTCTATGAGCCACTTCTTTCTACGAGCAGTTCCTTTCCCACCAATGAGCACTTCTGCCTGCAGTTTGGTGAGTTTGTCTTGGTTCATGATAGTTTCTTTCATTTTGTTGGAGAGAAAACCAGGCCTCACAGGCACTACGTTTGGAGCTCAGAGGCCGTTGGGAGACCAGCTGAGAATAAGGGTACACTCGTGGGGATGCAAGATGGCAGCTTGAGCACCCCAAGATTCTTTTAAACATCCTAAACATCATATAACCAAGGAAACAAAGAAAGTACAGTACCTTTTTTTTTCACGTCAATGGCAGCTTCCTTCTCAGATTTCTTTTTGACATCTTCTTTTTCTGGTAGTAAAAGGAGAAAATTATAAGCCTCTACCTGGTTAATTCTTACATATCAAGGTATACATGACTACAATTAAGGTATTCAATTCAATTTGTGTAAAATAATCCCAAGTCAGAGCCATAAATCATGTCAAATATGAATGAACTGGTACCTTCATAACCGAATTGTGGTTTTGGTGTGCTTTGTCTTCAGAAAGGAGCACATTTTTGCTAAGGTCACAAAGTCTTTCATGATATTAGAAGCATTAAGTGGCATTATTAGTTTTTCTAAAAGATTTTAATAGGAATATATTGAATGTTCTCTGGGCTATCAGGACACTAAAAGACAAGTCAGAAACTCTGACATGTCTGAGGTTCATTTGGGACTTCAGATGCACTATATGAAAACAGCCATCTAAAAAGAAAAACCATGGCCCACTAATCAACCAGTGTCTCCCTAATACATTAAGCTATTTGTTCTTTTGAAAGACATTTTTTATTAAATTGAATGAATTAAATAGTAGTCATCATAATTATATGTATTGCCAAGTAATGTACTGAATTAGACTTAAACAGTTACTCCTAGGAAAAAGAATAAACAGTAATAAGTTTTAAAAAGTGTTTAGGCTTGAATTTTCTTTTAAAATTTATCAACTTGAACTTTATTTGAAATATTTATAAGTCTTAAGAGTGTTGTTACTAACAACAATGAAATTATTAAGGAAATTTCTTCCCTAGAAAACAATTATCTTTACTAGCAGCATTATAAATGCATACTAATCGATTTACGTGTTGGACAGTTTTTAAATTCCTTACCTTTCTTTTTTGTTTCAGAAGTCACTTTCTTCTCAGCTTTCTTTTTTTCTCCTTCTTTTTCTAGAAGAGAAATTTAAAATACTTTCTTTACAAAAATCTAGTACAAAAGAAAAACTGAGATTAGAAAGGATTACTGTTAAATCGGTTCTGCCTCCAGATAGCTTTGTGACTTTGAGCAAGTGATTTAATCTCACTAAGCCTTGTTTTCCTCATTTGTAAGATAATAATACCGCCCTTAAAGTTAGATCATGTTTACAAAGCACACTCTGCACAGAGCCTGGTTCCTAGCGAGTGCAGAATATTGTAGGCTGTTAATATTGTCAACAACTAATAAAGAAGATAGCTCGAGCTTCCTGAACAAAACAATTATCTAGGGTCTAAAGTGAAATAGTAATACATGACATTAAAGCATATTTCCTGAAGAAAAATGCAGGTAAGCTAAAAATTATTCTTGTTACCTTTTCATATATTCAGCTTTACTAGAAATAATACACTAAGCCATTAACAATGTCTATTTTGGTTTAACTGTGTTTCAAATCTGCCTCTTGTCAATAGGCATTTGGAGCCTGGTGACATTTGTCTGGCAGTGTGTGGGGGACATAACTGCCACTGCCCTTTCTGAGTGGTTGTATCAGTCAGAGTGCTCAGACCGTTTTTGCACCCAGAAGTAGCAGGAAGTCTGGATGCCACATAGAAAGGTATGTGTTGCCTGTAAACTTCAGGAAATATTTCTGTTTCAGAGATCTGAGATAGCCTTGTCCTGAGGGGCAGATGGAAACCCAATGCCCAGCCATAGCCATGTAGCAATTGGACATCCCTGGACTTTTTTTCGGTAAGTGTACTCATTTTGAATAGCAAAGCTATGCAGAAGTACAGGAATTACTGAAATAGAGTGCTCAGTGGTTTTTTTTTTAGGTTTGATGCAACTGTAAACACAGTCATTGTTCAAAATCAATTGATTTTTACCTTCAATTAATCGTGTTATTTACCTTATATTTAAAATATCTTCTCTTTGTCATTAGTTTTTTCAAGCATAGATGCGAAGCAGTCAAAGATTTTCATTACCCAGGACTATTATGAGATTATTACCATGCTGAAGAAATTCCATGAATAGTTCTAGTGTGAATGCTTATGTACTAATGACTGCATCTTATTAAACATTGGAATTAATTCATTCCCTTAGGTGTCCTTTTTTTACCTACAAGATCAAAGACAACACTTTCTGTCAGCCTTAGAAGTATAATTTATGAAGAACTGTTTTTCGTGCCTCCTAGAGTCACATCAGTGTCGAAGGGCAAGGCAGAGTCGCCCTGTCTTAGTGTGTCTGCGGTGTGCCATCACAGGCCACCCGGTTGGAGGCACAAGGTCAAGGAGTCGGTCTCTGATAGTTCCAGTTAGAAATAAACTGGGTGAATTCCACTTTGCCTTTTCTTAAAGGTTCATACATATTAAATGTGGAAACCGCGTTTAAAATCCTGAATGAAAGATTCTTTTAAGTATTATTCTTTCCAACTTTTCTGGGAAAATTTTATGTAGGAAAGGGTTTCCAACTTATCAAGGTAAACATGTGTGCCAGGTCATCGGATTGTCATTTGCTAAACATCACCTTCTGATGGCATGCACTAGAAAAGGGGTTCATTAGAGTATGGAGTACTTGGAAATACTCCTGACATATATTGAAAACCAGTGCCATAGTCACAATAAAGTCACAACTCACAATCCAAGTCTCTAAGTTTAATAATGTAGATGAAGAAAGATTTCATTAGAAAGTTTGTATTAATTAGCCATTCTTATAAAGTAAACCTAAGAATAAAAGTAGATATTTGAGGCCATGAGATGGAAGGCATACTTTTTTTTTAAGAATGTTCTTGTGCAGTAAATTCTACCTTTAAATGAACACATCTGGAATTTTATTGTGGTGATACAGTATTCTTGCCTTAGTCCATAGTGAGTTAATGCTTCCATTACACACGCTGCCTGTGATTATGACCATACACGGTGAGAGTCATGAATAAGAGCCAAGTCCACAAAAAGCAGCTATAAATAATGTACTTTAATAACATTTTTATGAAGTAGACCTTTAAGCTGTCATTATGGGATGTACTTTATTCATGGTGAATTCATTTAAAACATCAGCTTAGGAAGATTCTGCACGTCTTCAAGCACTATTGTCTTTATTCTGTAGGTGATTTGGCAGCAATGGAATTTGGTTTTTCCTTTATAAAAGACACAACAATGTAATTATACCCCGTATGGATATAAAAGTAACCCCTGTTTCTTTTGTGAAATCCCTCTTCCCGTGACTTTTGTCTCCTTTGGCAGTCAATACTGTTCCTTTTCCAACTGCTGTGCACCCACACATCCAATTTCCCCTTCACTTTCTCTTCCAATTGTTTGCTCTTTTGTTTGTAACAAGCTGGAGAAGGGTCAGAACATTTAATAATATCGCAGGTTTCCAGAGCAAATGCAACTCAGCGTGTCTATAGACTGTGAATTAATCAGCATATTGCCTCCCTTTGGTAAAAGTGTCGTAAGCCCTGAAATGATGGCTCTGTATGGCAGGGATTGCAAGAGAGGCTGGTTGAAGGAGAAATTCTTCTCCACAACAGGCAGCTCGGAGCCACAAATCCGTTATTAACTTCTGCATAAATTAACATCAGATGAAAGAAAAATTAGAAACTCACTTTTTATTTTCTAAGCCCTTACAAAGGGCCTTTCTCTTTTTTACATGTGTTTATGCCATCTCAAAGCCAGAGAATACACAATAGTTAATTATAATTGTAAAGCTTTCTAAGATGCTTGTTCTTAGCAAACAAAGAAAACAAATGCAAAGGTTTCATTTTCATCTTATGTTTTGTTCCTCCCTCTTTGCCTTTCTAGTGTAGGGATTATCCAAATTTTACATATCTTATGGATGCTTTTCTTTTAATCCTCTATGGCCAGGATTGATGTATTCTTGGTCCTAATCACATAAATAGAGAAGTGTTGCTTTCCTAACAGTGCATTCCAACATACCTTGTTACTGTCACCTTGCTTCTCTAGAGTGGCAGAGATTGGCTTGGAATACCGCTCACTACCATGATCATGGAAAATTTCACACAAGCAGATAAGCTCAATTACATCAGTTGTTATTTGAGTTCTTCATTGTTATCTACAGAGGGTCATGGGGCATGAGACAAACCATGGTGCTAGCATAGGTGACCTTGGTCTGAATCCTGTCTCTGACCCGTTTTAGGTTTTGTGTGATATTGGCAATTTGTTGTGACACACTGAATTTCATTTTCTTTATTTGAACAATGAGACTAATAAAATCTACCTTGCTGGCTTGTGAGGAATGGAGGAATAGCTAAAGTGCCTAGACCAGAGTGGACGTTCAAAAAATAATGATTACAACAATTATAGCTATTACTATATTTTAGAGCAATAAAGATCTTCATTAACTTTTCTAGGCATGGTATTTATTAAACTATTGGGTATTTATTCAATAACTCATTAATTACATTAATTCTTATGATTTGATCACATTAATTCTTAAGATTCTGTATAGAGGGAAGCTATGTCTGGAATACTTTGTATTAAGAAACTTTAGGACAAAGTACTTAAGTAAGAATTAACATGCTGTGAAGGGGTACTATCCTGGAATAAAAGAGTAGACTCCAGACTCAGTTTTGCTGTAATTAGTAGCCACCACCTTATGCAACTGTAAATTTTCTGACTTCTATCATAAAAGGCAGGGGAATGAGTAGAGTATATTTAATTCTTTCCTCATCTGTTTATTTACTCACTCTCCAAATGAAGCACATGTCATCTTGCATTTATTTTCTAATATTGCTGAGAACAGGTATTTAAAAAGCTTCAGAGTTGTAAGTAGCTATTGTGTATTTTTTTGTCTTTGCTATAGTTTAACATTTTTTTAATCTAGAAAAATGTCCATTTTTAAGGCTTGAAATGAATATATGCAGATACTTATGTACATATCAATATATATGTATGAATAAGGTTAGGTGTTAATAAGGGTGGGGGAAACTTAGTTTAGAGGATTAGAATACGAGCAGGTAGGAGGTAGCATTACTTTTTTTTTAAGGTGAAACATGGGTAAATTTTCTAAATGGATAAGATTTGAAAAGATTGTTGAAAAAAGTGGAAGAGGTTTGGGGTCTTGGGGAGAAGTTTTTTTTGCCACAGAAAAAATGTCTGCCAAGACCTTGAAATGGGAGCATCTTAGATATATTCAAAGAAGTGTCTGGGGACCTGTCTGGCTGGAACAGAGGTGCAGAAGGAGAGTGGTGAGAGACGGGGCCAGAGACGGAGCAGGGGCCAATCACAGAGAGTTAAGTTGTTCACACTGTGAATTTTTCCTTTTACTGTGAGTTAGATAGGGCACCACTGAGAAAAAGAAATGATGTGATAATGAGTTATATTTTATAAGAAACTTTGGCTGTTGCTGGCTGGTGTGAGGTACTCCTTTGAATTTTGTGAACATATTGTAAGGAAGAAGACTAAAAAAGTAAAATAATTCAGTATAACTTTTCTTTCCATTTTTCTCTTTTTTTCCTCCAATTTTCTGAATTTTGTTTGGGATTTTTGAACTATAGAACAGTAGTAGGAGTACTTCACTTAACATTGCAATTAGGTTATTATGACAGCAAAGTCCTCTAAATTAAGGACTCACTTGAGTTATCTGGCATAACTAAGCTGGCCTTTCAGAACTGAAATCCACTGTCTTTGCCTTGACTTTTCCTTTAGTGATAACTAAATTACTCTTAGGAGATAGCTCTTCTCAATATCAGCTTTTTAACAACAAACAACCCACAGCCAGCAATTCAGTGGTTATCACAGTGATAACTGCACTTTTCAGTGATTATCATAGACTTTTACATAGATAGTGTATTTCTTTCATCAAAAAATGTTTATTTAGCCTGATTGCCTGGGTCTAGAATTTAAAAACTTCCCTTCAGGAACTCTAGGTAAGAGACTAAGATGTAAGAAAGTTTGCAATCACAATAAGGACTTTGAGGGACATTAAAAGTAGCATCTAAAGGACCCAGAAGAAAGTCCCAAACCCAAAAGAGCCAAGTGAAAGTAGGAAAGCTATTCCTAGGGGAAGAACCTCAGACTGAAACAGAAATGGTATGTGACACCTGATTCTAAACTGTTTATAGAACAAAGGGTAAACTTTTGTTGTTCTTTTTTTTAAACATGGCTGAGTAGTATCCCAATGTCCCATGGTTGTTTTATCCACTTATCTACTGATGAACACTTGGGCTGCTTCATATCTTGAGAACATTATGCTAAACAAAATGTGCCAATGAGAGAAAGACAAATATATGATTTCACTCATATGTGGAATCTAATGAACAAACTGAACTAACAAGCAAAAAAGAGACAGACTCATAGATAGAGAGCCGGTTGACAGCTAAGGTTAGCAGGTGGAAGGGTTGAGCAAGAAGGATAAAGGACTCATGGACATGGACAGTAATGTGGTGATTGGTGAATGTGGTGAATGGGGGGAAGGTGGGTATAAGCGAACTAAATGGTAATGAAAAATACAATAAAAATCTGTGAAAAAGAATGAAAAGAATAAAAATTTAAAAAATAAACTGAGTATGGCAAGTGTTTCTTCCTGTCAATGCCAACTGAAACACCTGAGGGGCAGAGTGCCTGCTCATTCCTGCAGACGCACTTGCGAACGCTCAGTGACACAGCTCCACTCACGAGGCAAACTTCCCAAAGTACTGCAGACTTTGTCAGTGTAAACCCAAACCTTTTCAAGATATCCTAGGTCAATGAGAAAAGTTAATGGGCTTTCACAAAGTATCCTTTTAATAATCTATAATGGGAAATAAAAATTTTAACAAGATAGAAAAGTTCTAGATTAGAGATTAAATTTTCTTATGAAATACATGGTGGGACAAAAGTAAGTTTACAGTTGTTCATATGGAAAACAACACAACAATTAATACATAATAATACAAGAATAAACTCTTGTGTTTCATGTACTCACTTTTCCCAACCCTGTGTATGTCTACTAAAATATACTTACATTTTGTAATCCTTGGGAAATCCTTTTCTTTCCGTTTTCCTTTTTTTGTGTGCATTATCCACCTATTCATTTTTGTGTTTCTTTTTTCTTTTAATTTACTTACTTGTTAAGACTTATCTATTTTTCCACTTGTTCAAAAATATTAACTCAAATATAACTGTGTTACCTCATGTCCAGACCTAGCACAGTGCTGCAATTGAAAGAAATTAGTCAATAATTTCAGGAAGTTTTGAAGATAAATTTAAATCTTTACTGAAGTGTCTCAAATAGCTAATGTTGAATAACCCAAAGCAGACATCTAAAGATTCCCTCCTTTACCTGACCTTCCCAATTCTCTTTCATTGCAGTTTCTCACCCCAAACCCTTCTCTCTCTCAAAAGCACCACTAAAAACTTACTCTGGGCCCATGCTGCCTCTCCCATTCCCTTCTCCTGACCTCTTTTCTCCCTGTCAGATTTTATAGTTTCTTCTGAGGAGTAATTCTTCCTATCTGAACATGAATTAATTTAATTCTTTTGACTTGTCCAATGTTTCGGCTCACCTAGCATATCCTGAATAGAATGCAAATGCCCAGGAGCTGACCAGGCAAATATATTCTATTCCATAGAAATTAAAGTGGGGGGAACAAACTATTATTACATATGTTGATGTTGGTATCCCCATAATGCATATAGACAATATTTTTATAAATTTTTTACAAATCATAAAGTGTAAAAATTGAATACAGTCTGTAGTTTAGTTAACATTGTTGTACCAAAGTTATTTTCTTGTTCCTGGTAGGTGAATCCAGGTTATGTAAAATGTTAACATTAAAGGAAGCTTGTTAAAGAGTGTACAAGAACACTCTGTATTATCTTTTAAACCCTTCTGTATATCTAAATTAAAATATAATTTAAAAAACAAATTAATGGAAGAATTTTTAGGACTCTGAAATAGAAGGTTCATATTTCCTTGGTAGTATTGATCAACTTATTGTGTAACAAAAAAATGAAATAAATATGTGGAGGAGAAAAGAATGAAAGAAATGAAGGCCCAAGCATAGTAAAATTTTGGAGTTAGAATAGGCTTTTAAGATCTTCTATTTAAAAAATATCACTGCGGATGAGAAAACTGAGTGTCTGAAAGGTTAAGAACTAACGTGAATCTCACAATTAGACCAGTTCAGACTCCTAACTCCTAGACTCTCATTTATATGAAGCAAAAAATAAAACTTAGAGATAGGAGTAAGGCATCATGATCTCCAACTTGGCCAATCTAAGGGTCACAACAAACACTATTCATCCCTCTGGAGCACCTGCTCCTGTTGTACCCTTATCTCCTTTGCATCCTCTCATCCTTGGCTTTCTAATCTGTCTTCTGATGATTTGTGTGATCGTTAATTTTATGTGTCAACTTGCCTAGGCTATGGTAACAATTACATCATCAAAGACAAGTCTAGATGTTGCTGTGAAGGTACTTCTTAGAAATGATTTACATTTAAATCAGTAGACTCTGAATAAAGCAGATTACCTTCCACAATGTAGGTGAACCTCTTCCAATCAATTGAAGGCCTTAAGAGAAAAGACTGAAGTCTTCTGAGGAAAAAGAAATTCTGCCTTCATAGTTTCTTTGTTCTTGAGAATTAACATCAATTGTTCCTTGTTCCATAATATAAAACTCTCTCGGCAACCCTCCCCCCTAGTGTGTGTGTGTGTGTGTGTGTGTGTGTGTGTGTGTGTATACATGTATCCTATTGGTTCTGTTTCTATGGAGAACCCTGACTCAAACAATATTCCCCAAATTCCTCTTCATGGGTGGACTTCATGCACTAGATAACTTCATTTACACCATGGTTGACCTGCACTTCAGTCACGTTCAGCTTTATATGGCATGAGGTGTTTTTGAGATCACTTATTCCTTGGGACCCTGAGAAGTGTTACTGGGAACAGAAATGCTCATGCTCTCAAAAAAATATTGGAATCACTGAGTTAATAAAATTAAATTAAAATAAAATAATTTGTGTGTACAGAATGCCTTGGATCTTTTAAAAATATATAATACAAATATAAATACAAATGCTCTATTTATTAAACACTTTTAGTCACCCATTTGGAGGTTGCCAGAGATCCTGATACACTCAGCAAGCCCCAAAATGAACTCATCATCCTCTCCCACAACAATGGTCCTTCATTTATCCAGGTCAGATAATAATTATTAATTATGCTCAGCCTTAACACTTAATTGCTAGTCTCAGGTAATGGAAATAGACTGAACCTGAGCACAAAACACATGGATTTTTATTCTAATTATAGCAGGTCCTCAAATAACATTATTTTGTTATATGATGTTATTGATGAGATTTCATAAGAACTTAACTCTCGTGTATAGCAATTAGCCCATGGTAAAATCGGTTTTGTTATTCATAGTTTCACTCAAAGGCACAGAGTCTATCAATGATGTTAAGTGAGGACTTACTGTATATCATTGTTAGAACTGTATTATATTTGGCAAGTATGTATAAAACCCTGGATATGACCCCAGTCCTGTATTAAGAAATTATATAGAGTTTCATGTATACACACTAATACCATTAATGTATTACCTTATTAACTTGTATAGATAGCAATTAAAAACTATCATAAAAATTAATGATTTGTTACACATAGAAGGAAATTTCCTGATAGAAGAATGATAATGATAGTAACAGCAACTAATAGTTGATTACCTAACTGTGCTAGATAAATGTGCTAAGTTGTTATATACATATTATTTCATTGTTACTTTAACAACTTTCTAAATTAAATAGATATTAAAAGTAGTTTGGTTTGTATATTTTATCAAAAATTATAACTAAAAGTCAATTCCATTAAAAATCTCTGTTAGAGTTTGTTTCATCATGAAACAAAATAAAACATTATATTGGTTTTAAGTTTAATAAAATTTACTGTGTCATAGAGTTAATGGAATAAGAACTGGGGCCAAAGTTCTATTTTATTATTTTGTGCTTTTTTTCTTCCCAGGACATATGTCACTGAAGATCTAAGGTGGTAAATTTTTGGTTAAATACAACTGTAAATAAAGCATTACTAGCTTGTGCAAAACATTTCCTTGGATGCATGATATGGTAAGAAATTATCCTATAATAAGTTTCTTATGATACTCCTCTCTCCTCTGCACAAATCCTACCAACATACTCTCTATGGCCCAATGCAGGGCTTGTGATTTCATTGCATAAGCTTGCCTTGCTCATATTTCATTTTTGTCCTACCTTTGCAGCCTTTATGATCTGTATAACTCATTTTTGTACTCTAGTAAGTAATGCTTCAGAGTAATATCCACCACCTAGGGGCATGCTCATTTGCCCCAAGTTTGACATCTCTGTTAGGCCATGACCATACCTTACACATCTGTGGAAGCCATTTAACCACTATGCAAAGCCATGGAGTCTTCACTCTGTTCTTAAGGCTGCTTTCTACCAATATGCCTCCTGAAAAAATTAAACTTTAAACCCCTAGGTATGAAAGCAGAGAGAGACTTAAGAACAATTTAAGTTCCGTTCTCATAGTTCACAGGTGAAGAAATGGAGGTTCAAGAAATTAATTTTTAAAAGATTTTATAACCAATTAGTGTCATAGCTGAAATTGGAACTAGGATTCTTGGTTTTCTCTCTCAAGTTCTCTTGCCCACATTTGTGTGGTGGCATTTATAATATCATTTAAAGTTGGAATCCTGACTTAATGCTAGTTATATTTTTATTGAAGAAGATGATAGGGTATACAATATTTATACACTTTACTGTATTTGGCTTTATTCAAGAAAATCACGTTTGTAATGGAATATTAAAAGCAATTTAAGTATAAGATATATACTTAATAAACAGTCACTTTTAACTTCTTTCTTCTACATCTTTGCCACAATAGACAGGTTGTGGCAGTCTCTGCTAAATATGAATGAAAGCCTTCAGTTCTTCAGAGATCAATGATGAAAAATGTGGTGTTGGGGATGGGGAGTGGTGGGTTGAATAGGGGAAAAATCTTCTGGCACTGTTGATTTAATGAGATTATTTCTGATAGCTATGTTTATACAAAGATTTTATGAAACAGTGCTTGTGTGTGTGTGTGTGTGTGTGTGTGTGTGGAGAGAGAGAGAGAGAGAGAGAGAGAGAGAGAGAGAGAGAGAGAGAGACTGGGAAAGAGATGGGAAACATTGCCTAAAGCTTTCCTGCTTAACTACTGAGGATTCTGAGAGCAGTAAGAGGCTAATCTTTCATAAAAAATACAGTTCTGACAAACATTTGATGATAAAACAACTTTCATGCTAAGGGTTAAAACCATTCATAATATTAATATAATAAGGTACCATTTGATGTTGTGGGGGGGTGCAACTCACAGAGATCTGCTCTACTTGTGGAATGAATAACTCCATTGACCCTTGGAAGCTGCAGGCATTTCAACCTCCGTGAGAGGTCCCAATAGCCATGGGAATTAATTCATCACAAAATTTAATACTGAAGTGAGGTCCATATTTAAGTCAGTTCTAGTTAACTTATGCCCATAATTAAATGCAAATTGACAATAATGAGCAAAATAACTGCATAAGGCAGTCATTATATAAAGATCTTTTTAATGCCATTGTAGCATTCTTTCCCTGGCCAAACATATTCTAAAAAATAATAGTAGGAATAAAAGAAATAACTTATTTAATAAACTATTTATATACTTATATCCAAGGATTTGAGGCAACACGACTTCACCATGGTATGCAAAGGTGTGATGTGGGAGAGGAGTGCAACCCAGGGGAGGCAAGACACAAGTTCGGGGCGATGGGTAAGTGCCCCCACAGCAGAAGGGCACTGGCACTTCCCAGAATGAAGTGAACGCTGTTTTAGACTTATTATTTTAAGTTCTGTGATAGCACAAAATCATCTTTTGAGGGCTTCACAGATGTAAAGTGTTGTCACTCCTACCAAGGTACATGATATTTTTAGAGTTCTACTATAGAATTCTAAATGGTTTCCAATCTCCTGTGAGCAAATTTAATACTTCAGTCTCCATGTAAGCTTTATTTTTTTTTAAATTTGATCTTTATTTTTCCATTACCATTTAGTCCCCTTTTATCCCCTACCCACAGTATAAGCTTTACTTTTTCAAACATCAAAGTGGAAAATATGTTTAAATGTCTGCATTTCGACCTGTCATAACTCTATCCCTCCAGTCAAATAGCATAGTGTAGTGCCACATGGATATTCCTTCCATACAGGCCATTTTCTTGCAACTTGGTTCTAAGGAGCTCCAGACTAAAATAGTGCATCAAGGATGGAGTATAATTAACCTCACTAAAAACAGCTTGATTAATACTAAATATGTCCTAGTTCCTAATCAATTATGTTAATGAAGTCGCAGGCAGAACATCTGCAAGTCCTGACAAAGCCTATGATCTCAGCGCTGCCTGAGAATGTGGACTCCTTAGGAAGCCGCTCACTGCCAGCATCCTCAGTGCAAAAACTTTGCCTCTCTCTGAATTAAAAGAGCGCAATAACAAAAGCTCTGCAGTCCTGCAACATTGCTTATGTTATTCACTTACACATAGTGTTGGGTTCCAGGATAAAATGTCAAAGTAAACAGCTCTTTAAATATAACAATAGAACTTAAGTGTCCCACTTAACAACTGACACATCCCTTTTCCAAGTGACAGAGTGACAGGCAAAATATTTGCCACTTTGTCTTTTATCAGCCTCTGCTAGGAGATAAACTGGAGTTAAACACTTGAATAATCTATCAAAATCTGCCTCGAACTGGAGAGCCGGAATCCCTTGGTTTATGTCCACCTCACAACAACAACAGAATTAGAATCTGATGAAACTTAAGGTGACACTATTATTTATAGGCTATCTCTTGTCCTGTGAATATTTAGGCTGTGAGAGAGTCACTTGTCAATTTTGTGTCACATTGTCTCAAGTCACATAAGCTATTATAGTCCAAATGCCCAAAGAAATAGGACTCCCCTCTCTCTCCCCCTCCTCCTCCCTCTCCCATCCTCCTTCTCTCTCTCTCTCTCTCTCTCTCTCTCTCTCTCTCTCTCTCTCTCTCTCTCTTTCTCTCTCTCTCTCAGACTGGGTTCTATACTTTTTTTCCTAAATCATTTGCTTACTGGCTAGATAAATGATACACATTAGTAGCCAGTTATAAGATTACTCAGAGGTTTGTTTTATTACCTTCAGTATAAACACAATTAAGAAAAATTTTTAGTTAACTTCTATCACTTGTAAGCATGTGTAGAAAATGATGCAAGTTTAGAATTTATGCTCTTAGTAATACATGACAAAAATAAAAAAGGCAAAACCATTGATTACTTAAAAAGAAATATTTAAACAACTCTAATTGTATGAGATGAACATCTCAGCTGTTTTGCTTATACATTCATGAAGCTTAGAGTTTATCAAGTCCTACGGACTGAACTGTGTCCCCTCCAAACTCCATGTGACTGCGTTAGACACAGGACCTTTTGGAGGTGATTAAGATCAAATGAGATCCTAAGGACGAAGCCCTGATCCGATAGAACTGGTGCCCTTCTAAGAAGAGGAGAAGACAGCAGAGCTCACTCTCTGACATGGGACAGCACAACAAGGAGGAGGCCCTCTGGAAGCCAGGAAGTAGGCTCCACCTAGAACTTGACCGTGCTGGCACTCTGATTTAGGACATGCATCCTCCAGAACTGCGAGAGAACAAATTTCTGTTGTTCAAACACTCAGTCTGTGGTATTTTATTGAGGTATCCAATGCACAGTAAGGCACAAAGCTTGATTAGAAGTTTTTAAAAATTATTACATCAAGAGAAAATTATCTTCACATAATTGTCACACACACAAAATCTGGAACCAAGTGAGTGAATAGGTAAAGGAGGTGTGGACATTGATGGGGACAGGGGGACTCTTGCTCTATCAAAAATGATCACCTGTAAAAACCAGTAAATAAAAAGGGGGGTAAATGCAGGACATGTGTAATAGTGTCAACAATAAAAAATTAAGAAAGAAACTGTTGTGGACCACACAAAGGTGTCTGTAGCTGTTCTGAATGGGAGACTCGATTTTGCCTATTTTCTAAATATTCAAGAAAAATTGTTTATTTGTCTTGGAATGAGACATCGCATGAATTTTGCATTAAATTATGGTCTTTAATGAAAAACAAATTATTTTTTTCATATTGGGATTAATATAGCACTGATTTACAGATTGCAGGGGTTTTATTTAAAAATTTTAAATGCTAATTTATTCAATTCTTGTAGATGACCAAATCAAAATATTTTACATACTATGTAATAGGTTTTTATAATTTACAGTTATAATGTAACCTTTCTCCCCATTTCCAATGGCATTTCTCTTGCTCTCTTGTGAGTCTTTATAGAATTCTTAGGTATTAAAACCTTTTGCTTTTTCCCAGACAACTAGCAGTTAAAGTTTCTTCACATGTGGCATTCCAGCAAATCTGAAGGACATTTGGCCAATTCCCCTTGATCATTAAGGTAACTAATACTAAATTAAAAGCATTTTTTAGAAATACTGTTAAATTGTTCACCACCTCCTTCTTAAATGTTCTAGAGATTTGCTACTCAGGTGTGGTCCAGGACCAGCAACATCAGCAACACTAGGGAGGTTGGTAAAAATGGGGAATCTCAGCTTCCAGATGCGCCAAATCAGAACCTGTATTTTCATAAGATGCTCAGGTGATTTGTGTGCACATGACATTTTGAGGAGCATTGCTAGGGTACTCTTGACTAATGTTGGAATGTGGCATTTCTGTCACAAAACAGCTTGAAGTCTAAAGCACAAAACTTTGTTTCCATTTTCTAAAACTTGTTATCGTCTCAGAAGACATGAACATATAATCCTCAAGCTTCAATATCTGCATAGTAGCATAATCGAAACTTCCCTGGGCATAGGGGTGGAATCTCAGACCTGTTATTTGTTAATACGGCATAAATAAATAAACAAATCCTGTGGCCGCAATTGTTGATTTTTAATAATATGTTTACTTAACAGGGTCTTGGAATATCAAATGTAAAATGGATATATGTACAGCAAACATAATATTCTGAAGCAATGTGAGTTGGAGGGAGTGTAGCCATGGGTTAGGCATGACTTCATCAGGACCTGGACAAATGTGTCGAACATGCTACTGAAAGAACATAACCCTAGAAAAACTTCACTTTCCCAACTATTCAAATCCTCCCCTGCCTATTGGATGTGTGAAACATAAATGTATAACCAAAAGTAATTCTATTCCAATGTCCCATGGGAAACACTCATGTCCCAGACTGCCCCTGCTTCTTGCTCCTCATCACTGGGCCCGTTTTATTTCAGTGGCTTCCCATCTTAGTTAATGGCTCTATTGTCCACCTGGATACCTAATTCAGAAAGCCTGGAGTCTGTTTAATCACTTCTTCCTCAGCATCTATAGCTAATCTGTTACACCGATTTATAGTCTTCCCAAATCTCTTTCAGGTCCATCTCTTTTCCTACTTCTACTACACTACTGTTTAGTTCAAGGTTTACAGTTTGTTTGGACTAGTCCTTTCCCAAGATCTTGCAACCAATCTCCTTATACTGATCTACCTTGTGGGATGGCAGGAAAGTTGATTTTTCTAAATAAACATGTCTATCATATCCATGAGGTTCCCCATCTTTTAAAGACACATATAAAAATTCCAGGCTGATTAGGCAACATCTGTGCTTGTATATGCACAAAATATCTCTGGAAGAAGCTGCCAGAGGCTGCCTGTCCAAAGAACTGTGTAGTTCATGAACTTTTTACTCTATGTCACTTTCGTAGCTTTAACATTTGTTAGAATGTAAGTGTATCAAGATTTTAAAAGAAAATAAAAATTCCTCAGCTGGGTGAAGAGCATGATGTCAATGATTTTCAAACCAAACAAAATGCAATCAGAAAAAAAAGGAAGAAAGGAAAAAAGGGAAGAAGAGAACAGCAAAAGCTAATGAAATTATATGCAGGATGAGTATATTGGGGATTCACACTACTCTTCAATATTTCATAATAAAACTTTAAGTATAAAAATAAATTCCAAGCTTGCCTAATCTCTTTCAGGTCCATCTCTTTTCCTACTTCCACTACACTACTGTTTAGTTCAAGGTTTATAGTCCTTTCCCAAGATCTTGCAACCAGTCTCCTTATACTGATCTGCCCTCTACATGGTTTTCTTTCAGTTCTAAACTCTCTCCATGTCTTCTTCCTTCTCTCCATACTTATGCTTCTTCTATCCACACTTATACTTCTCTGGCTCAAACTCTTTTCTTACCCATTTCCATGCCTTTGTCTATACCAGTCATTTTACCAGTAGTGCTCTTTCCTTCCTTGTGTGATGGACACCTATTCTTGGGACTTAAGTTTCACAACCCCCTATAGAGAGAAGCATTTCCTGGGGTCTTTCTCACCCCTTTCAAACAGAGCTTGCTCTCCCTTGTCTAATCTTTCATAGTACTTTTTACTGACTTATTTTGGGGGTCTTACTACATTGTGTTAATTAGTATACCTCTTAGAACCCAACAACCAAGCCCCTCTTGAAGTCTCTTTGCTTCACAGAGGACTTCTGGGTCCTCCTCCAATTATTCCCTGCCCTGGGTCTGAGTCTGTGGGAAGACAGGGTGTTTGGACTAGTCCTTTCCCAAGATCTTGCAACCAATCTCCTTATACTGATCTACCTTGTGGGATGGCAGGAAAGTTGATTTTTCTCAACTTTCCTGAAGTTTTCTCTCTCTTACAGTCCAGATCCTGAGACCCTGAATTTTATCCTCAGACATCCTTACTCCTGTCAGTGGCTGCATGGACCTCTTCTTGAATGAATCCTCATTAAGTTTGATCACCCCTAATCTCAAGGGGGTTGCCAAAGCCAACAGGTAGGTACTGGACAGAGTAGATAGAACTTGGGCAAGCAGGTTAGTATGCACAGGTATACACAGATGGTCCCTTTCAGTGTGTGACAGGGCTAGGGGGTGCTCGCTGGGGGGTGAGAAGGGTGCTGTGGTGATTTGGAGGAGACCTCCATTTTTCTCTTGCAAAAATTAGTGGTGCCTTTGGCTTTAATGACTTGTGTTTTGTATTGAGCTTCTCTTTAATTATTTTTAACTTTATCTGCAAACTCAGTCTTGCTAGGGCAAGAAGTATCTTTTATTAATATCTGAATGCCTAGTACTTCAGACAATATCTGACATGGGTTGGAATTTAATACAGGATAGTTGAAGGAATAAGTGAAAACTTATAAAATACTATTACCTTTTTAGCAAATTTGCTTATGATAATACTCCCATCCTCTAATTTTCTTGATCCTCAACATTGCATTTCGAAGAATAAATTATTAGTGGTAGTATAACTACTAATTTCATAAAGCACTCATAAACTGGCATGCACACACATACACTATATCATCTTCACAATAACTCTACGAGATTAGTGTTATTCTTGTTATCTTAAGGATGACAAATTTCATGTCAGTGAATTTAAGTAACTTCCCAAATTTATACAGCTAGTCAGAGGAAGATCTCAGATTCATACCCAGAAACTCTGGCACCAGAGTCTTAAAACTCTAAAGTGATCGAGTTATGATAAAACTGCCAAGAATTGCAAAGCGTATCCTCATCCATTTGTCCCTATACTTTCATGGTTGATTTCCAGGGTACAAAGCTGGTCATTATTTTAGAAGCTAGGGTCACCCATATAAGATCTTAAGAAAATTTTGGTTTCCTAAAAAGGAACAAACAATAATTTTAGAAAAAAATGAATGGTAGCTCTGTAGTGTGTAGACATAACTAAAACTATTTGATAAAAATAAGAATTTTGTTGTTGCTGGTATTAATATTTTGTTTTGTTTCTCTACATTCTATTTTATCTACAATAGAGAAGATCTTTGGGAAAACTGTAATGCAATACTTACCTTCAAGAGCAGGTGAAGCTGGAGTGGTTCTGGAAGCTTGTTCTGTTGGTAATGGAGGTGGTATGGCTGGGCTTTGTCCTGTGCACACAATCAGAAGTAGATATTGAAAAAAATATTAGCAAATTTAATCTTCACAACTAAAATAGCCTGGTCTATCCCCAGCATGCATAATTCATAATCTGAAGTATAAATTTATATTATTATGCAATAGGAAAATTGTTATTAGGTGAGATCCTTAGGTGGATACATACACAGGTGCAGCTATCTTCAGAACCATTTCTGAATATATTACTTTTCACAAATGTATACACAATGTTAAATATATTTACTGGACTTCATTAATGAAAAATCCACATGCAATCAAATACAGCAATTTATTTTCAATATGCACTTAAACTATGAAAACTAAAATCACAGAAGCTGAGAGGAATTCTAATATGAAAAAAATCATCATTTTTTAATTTAACTAAAAAATCTCCAGTGATATAACAGTGAAATAAAAGAAGGTTAAAATTCATAGGCTTTTTTATGTTGAACAGGTACATTTTCTCCTGCCAAAATAAATGACCTGCAGTTAAGTAAATAATGGGCCAGAGGGAAAATATATTCAGCTTTGTAGAAGCTTGAAAGGTTCCCTCAAGTCTCTGAGCTTATTATGAACTGTATAAAAACCCACAGTTGTTTCCAAGGGCTTCCTTGTCCCGAGTGACTTCTTTAATTAACCAACACCATACGGGCCATGAGCTGTAAACATTAACTAACATACGATTCTCTATGAAATGCCTCATAAAATGTTTTATCATTAATTTTTATTTCATGAGTTCCTGCTGCATGGAACATTTTAATCTGGGAATCATTGTGGGCATACACACCTTCTAAAATCTCAATGACAACTGGATATTATCAAATGTCAGCAGACCCACCTACTTACTGGAAGTTTTCCTTTTTTAGAATTCATCAAAATTACTTTGCTCTGGTGAATTGTGGAATAGCAAGCAGAGCAATTCAAGCTGCACACAGGCACTCTTTGGTGATGAAAAGGGCAGCATTCTAAGCCTAGACCCTCATGTCAAGGAGAGGTTAACTTCTCTTCATTATGGGAGTTTCTTCTAGTTATTAGAGCCAATTGGTTCATTCTTGAGCATATTCAGTACAAAGCATATTTTTTCATAATAGGCAGGCCATATACCTAGAAAAATACTAGTCCATATTATTATTACTTTTCTTCCTCATGAGAACAAAGATTTGATAGAAACATAATGCAACATGGAAGTTCCTTTTTTTGCAAGCAAGGTAAAGGTAAGGCTTGGCACACTAGAAAAGAAAAGTTTATCCCACAATTTTGCTCCAGCTAACATTTACAAAGTGCTTACTTTGTGCCTGGGACAATCTCAAACAATTTTGGAATAAGTCATTTAATCTTCACCAGATTCTTAGCGTGTAAGTATAATTTTCATTTTACTGTATGGAAACTGAAGCAAGCAGGGTTCAGACCATTGACCTCCTGAGGTGTGGGGCTGGATTTCCATGCATGCTCTAGGTTTAAGGTGATCCAAGTTCCTCTTAGACTGTCTAAGGCAAGTGAAGCATCTTATGTAAGGGGGTCCATGGCCACCGCTGAGAAGGGACGGAGGAGAGAAGCTTCCACCCTGTTCTCACATACTCTGCAAGTCAAGGGGAAATACACTTGGGAAACATTTGTTCCCAAGTCTTGCTTGACAGCTGTTTTTGGAAAAAAATATTTCTAAGGTAGGATGGTTTTGTAATTTTTAAAATCTAAGGAGAATTAAAATTTAAGAAGGAGTCAATTAAATGACTAAAGCTTAAAGTACAAATGGCTATGAATATAATTCAATTGTTTCTAAATACTTAGGCTTTAAAAAATACATTCGAGTGGTGCCTGTTCAATCCAAGCTGTTTTCCCCTCTGTGAGATACGTCCATGAGGTAATGAGTGTATAATCATAATCTTTTATATTCTTGATAAGCTCTTTCGGAATTAATTCAAAATATATAAAATTATTTCCTTGGAAAACTATTTATAATATGTGTTATAAAATATTCTTAGATTTTCCTGGAGGAGCTATAAAGTCATTATTTTATTTATTTTTTAATTAGTGAGCACTTATCATGTACCAGCACTGAAGAACCATTAAACATCAAACCTGCTTTTAAGAAGTTCCCAATATACTGATTAAAACAGACTTACAGACAGATCATTATAATGCAGTGTGGTGATGGGAAATAATATATTCAGAGAGGATGTTGCAGACAGATTCCTGGAGGAGATTAATTGTAATGTGCATTTTAAGACCTAAAAGGAGTTTGCCGGGTAAAGGGAGGTAGAGAGAAATGGATTCCAGGCAGTGAAAATCTGGTGAAAAAATGCCAAAATATATAGAACTATTAAAGCAAACAAACTGGTATTTCTTCAACATGAAGTACAATATCCAATTTCTATCAGAAATTCTCTCCAACTATAATTGATTATATTATACTCTCCAATATGTCTGACTGTACTGTTGAGGCAGTGGATGCAATGGGAAGTAGGGTCAAAACAAAAAGAGAAAGAAGAAACCAGGTGGCTGTCTGCTTCTGTTCTGACAGTGACAGGGAGCCCTAGCAGGGGAATTATTAGCTCAGGACAAGATTTTGTTGTACTAGAAGGCACCAAAACAAATCGGGCTTCTCATTGTTGAACACAACACGTGAATTCAGCACTGACTTATAGAAAAATCTTTATATATATATATATATATATTCAATTAATGTCAGAAAATACTACTGAAATTAGAAACAATTTTATTATGAATGAGTATATTATATATCATATACAATATTATACAAGGTGGGACAAAAGTAAGTTTACAGTTCTGAGTATGTGAAACACAAACATTATTCTTACATCATTATTGATTAATTATTGCATTAATTTCCATACAAATAATCCTAAACCTATTTTTGCTCCATCCTGTATAATATATCAATATAACATTATATTAATATAATTTTATAATGAAAGCAATATTTAGTATAAAGACTTTATGCTTAGAATCAAATGGATATTAGTAAGAGTTTCAGCTTCACCACTTGTAATCTGTGTGAACTTGAAAATCTCATGAAGATTCCAAACATTATTTCATGAAATGAGAATAGTTTTTACTGTTGTTATGAGGATTAAGTGATAAAGCAGCCAATACATAGTAAATACTCAAATTATTAGTTCTTTTCCCATTAATGAATTTACCATTTATATCCCATCTATTCTCTCAAGAAGAATTGAAACAGACTTTTGAAGTAAGAAAACAAAGACACAACAGATAAAACTAAAAATGACAAAAATAACAAAATTCACTTACAGGAAAAGGGATTATAATTCTATTAGGAGTGTATTCCTTTGGAATTCCTGAGGATTGTTGTTCCTCTTTGAAGGAAAGACTTAATTTGCTGAAATTCACATTGGAACTCTAACAGCCCCCTTCATTTTACAAGCTATTACCTGCAAGTCCCTCTGACGTTCAAACGTACTGAATTGGCTTTATTTTTGTTCCTTGAGTGATTTTCATTGAATTATTTCCATAAACTTGAATGGCATGTTTGTAAGGTGCCAATATTTTATTATTGTGAGTTTTATTTCTCATAGAAGTCAATTTGCTTTCTTTTAGTCAAATTCCACTGGAGATAATATACAGTGTGCATTCCTTCTAATGAGCTAAGTTACTTGATGTTTTCTTTGCTAGAAATAATGAATGGAATTACTCAGAAGCTCAATTCACATGGATGGTTATGAGCTGAATTCAGATTGCATAAGGCAGAAAACAATTTTCTATACAAAAGTATAATTTGTCTAGTTTTATTTTTTTTAATTAAAGGAGATTCCCTGCTTAAAAACCATTTGTAGACTCCCGAGTCTAACACCCCCAAATCTTGAAACAAATGTTGAGGATATCTGTTTTCTCTAATGCTTGCTATTTTCTTCCTTTGCAACCCAATGCATTTTCCTAGAGGTAATGAGTGAGTACATCAGAAGGTGGTAAACTCTCTGAAAGCCTTCAGTACTGAAAACAACCAATGGCGATAGAGCTTGGGATGGAGAAGGTGTCACTCTAGTAGGTAACCATTGAGTTAAAATCCACTTAAATTTTTTAAAAGATTTTATTTATTTATTTTTAGAAAGAGGGGAAGGGCGGGAAAAAGAGAGGGAAACATCAATGTGTAGTTGCCTCTCACGCACCCCTCCCACAGGGGACCTGGCCTGCAACCCAGGCACATGCTCTGTCTAGGGATCACACCCAAGACCCTTTGTTTCGCAGTCCAGTGCTCAATCCACTAAGCCATGCCACCCAAGGCTCCATTTAAATTTTTTAGAAATACAAAGTATGAAATCATTACAAATTTCTACTTCAATTTGTTCTTTTATTTTCATAGAAGGCATTTGTAACTATGACTAAAGGTCAAATGGGAAGATCTGAATTTAGTAAAAAAATGATAACCAAGTCTGTTAAAGCAATATTACTTTTATACATTGGAACATGTGCAGTGTGTTTCCAGACTCACTATTTCTGTGACATGTAGAATAGTATTTTTAATATTTAAAATTGAACAAACACTAAAGTTAAATAAAATATGGTTTTTATATGTTAGGCTGAGATATGATTGTGTCAGTGATTTTTATTAAAATAAGGACACCTTGACCTTCAAGTTTTCTTACTGAGAGTCTTTTTTTTCTTGCTTTGTACTTTTGGGTCCCTTACAAAATAAAAGGAGGGAGCCAGACAAATTTATCAACCACTCCTCCCTTTTTTACCCTATCTCTCCTAGGTTTGCAAATGTGCCTGTGGAAAGGTAACCTCACCAATAAGGACTCATGTGAAGGAGTTCAGAAGTTTTATTAGGTGGGTGCATCAAGGAGGTTTTCACTGTAATCAGAAGCATCTTTGTATATCCCTCTTGTGTATTGCTAAATTCTATACATGCACTTTTAATTCCTTGTACTTAGTATTGTGGAGATCAAACAGAAAACAGGCAATTACCACTTGAGTCTCAGTTGTTTCAAGGTAAAATAACAACTATAGTACCTCCTCCAGCTGAGTTATGGTGAGTGTGTATGGACATAACAGTAAATATGAAATCGCTGAGGGGTCCCAGCAAAGGTGGAGAAAGACCTTGCTGTTATGGAGCTTACATCAGAGAAGGAGGAGAGGTGATAAACAAGACAGATCACTTCAGACCTCGAAGATACAGAGGCATGAAGATAGAGTGATGAGGCAGAGAATGACTGGAGAAACAGACCATGCTCTGGAAAGGAAAAGCAGGGCCACCACAAAGCAGGACTCAGCTAAATAAATATATGGAGCTTTGTAAAAATTAGAAAACCATGTGCTCTCTGGGTCTGTGCAATTCACGGTGGCAACTTTTGATCAAGAGGATGGAGTTAGTGCAAAACTGAGAGGCAGCTCTTCCCCTGGGCAGCTGCAGCCCAAGCCCAAGGCAAGCTGTCTAGGGGAAGGGAGCATAGTGCAGGGCCTTTGTATGTGCACAACAGGGCATAATGTATGAAGTGCCTCTTCAAAGGGGATACACTTGAGCTCTAATTTGAATACAAAGGAGAAAACATCTGGAAGATCTCTGATAAAAGGATTCCTAACAGGGAAAAGCAAGCCAGAAGCCTTGTTGGAGAGCAGAGACAAGCTCCTATCAGAGAATCTAGTTTGTTTCTCTGAGTTTGGAAGAACCTTTTGAACACTAAGTGCAATAGTAAGCTTGTGAAGGGTTTAGTATGATATGCAGGGTTTTTAAAAGACCACTGTCTGTTGTATATACAAAATTAAGGTTTGTAAAGAAAAGGATGTGAGAAGCAGAAGGATATCAATTGGAGATTATTGAAACACACCAGGTGAGAGACGATGTGGGCTTAGACTTAGGTGGGTTGCAGTGGAGATTCAGTCATTCATGCAATAAGTATTTATAGAATGCCTACGAGCGCTAGGGACTTTCCTTGGATGCGGAGTTACAGCAGTGAACAACACCAAGTCACCTAGTTCATAGACCTGACATTCTTCTGGAAAGACAAAACATATCGATTAAATAAGTAAAATAGAAATAAGTATTCTACTTAAAAATGTATCAAGGAAGGGTAATAAGAAATGCAATTCAGAATAATAGGTGGTAATTTGAAATATATGGTCAATAAAGAACTTAGAAAATGTAGATAAGTAAATGAATTTAGAGTATGTTTTGAGTTAAACCCAGTAAGACTTTATAATAAATTTGCTGTGGGAACTGAGAAAAAGAAATAAAGGATGACTGATAATTTGACTTGAACATCTGGAAACAAATGAGAAGCATAATGCCCAGATAAAGACAGCAAATTTTCCAATTACCCAGTGAGTTATCGTGTATGGACTAATGACTCAGTGTTGTCATTTGAATGATAAGTTCTCAGTTTTGCTGGAAGACTTATATAGAGCACACTGAAGAAGACATAGTTATTTCATTGTGTAATTCTAATAATATATGTTAATGCTAATTAATTTTTAGATTTTTTTATTATTTTAGAAAATTTTAAGTAAATGGGTTATTTAGTATAAATTGGCTATGTGACACTAATATAAAGGTGTTTAAAACACCAAAAACTGCAACTTCTGATATGAAGGATGCTTCATATTCAGGATCCTTCTGAAAGAGTGTCCTCCAGGTTAAAATACTGGAAAGGTTTCTTTGCCTCTTGAAAAAAGCTTCCCTAATATTTCTGTGTGTTATTATATATTTGCATATTCACTTTGATGGAAAGCAAGGAAAAGTAGCCAATACATATTTTATACATTCTTTTGATTAAAAATGATAAAGGTAGCATTTCTGTTTTTCCCTTTCATTTTCAATTTATGAAATAGAAAAAGATGTTCATGGAATAGTCAACTAAAAAAAGGAAATGAGATTCATTCAAGATTATATCATTGTTCCATTTATTCTTGTACTTTGATTATGTACCCTGATGTTTAGGACAACAAAAATAGAAGTATAAATCATAGAGTTTTGGGGTGTAGAAGAGACCTATGAAATCAGCTATTTCAACATCCTAATTTTTCAGATGGAAAAAAATGGTCTCTAGAAAAACAAGTGGCTTAACCAAGGTCCTACATTGAGAGCAAATCCAATTTAAAATTAAGGCTTTTTTTTTCCCACATATTTTTTCCTATTTATTTAATACCTATTTAGAAAGTCAATGTAAATGACAATTTTTGATCAGTTGTGATAAATGACTTATAATCTTTGGAAAACCCAAAAATACTCACTTCCTAATATAAAAAGTTATATAGTTGTCTTCAGTGCTCATGTTCTGTTTAACTTTAATTAGATGCTGAATTGACATTGACCAGCCCATCAAAGTGACCCAGTGCATTAAGACTAAGTTCCTTATCTCCTGAACTCACTGCCACAATTCTAGATATACTGTCAACTGGGATGTTTCCAAAAATTTGAGAATTACTAATTCCTCACTTTCCTTATTTTTTCTAAACAATATCACTTTCAACCCCACACCAAATCATATTAGTACTCAAGGTGAGGTGAAGAAGAGACACTAAAGATGGAATATGCAGACAAACAGGTAATATTAATTCTATGTTTTTCTTTTAGTGCAAAGGTTTTTAGATAAAGAGATTTCTAAGGACTAATAGACGAATTGAAGTTTTAATTTAAAAAGAGAAAAATAAAAACTCTCTCATGGACTTTCCACGAAAGTGAAACATTAACACATTTGTCCCGAGTTAGTGGGAAAAACTGAACTAAAAGCCCAGATAACCTACTTGCCATGGAGTCATCCAATGAAATGTCAAACATCTGTGAGGTTTCCAGTTCTTATTGATGAAACTACCTGGGACATGGCTAATTCTAGTAAGTCCTCAAAGCTTAGCCATCATGGCTTACTTGATTCTCTTATATCCACTCCCCTGACAACTCTACGCTCCCAGAATGCTCCGTGTACACTTCATCCTCTGACTCTCAATGCATTTATTTGTTTATTTACAAATCTCAGTTTTTTCTTCTCTCTTTTTAAAAAAATTCTCACTAGATCATGAACACTTGAGAACAGAATCTGGAACATCGATATACATTTGGTAAAGGTAGAGTTTTTCTCTAGCATAGGTAAACCATGCTAATTAAGGCTTTTTGTGAATTTACTTTCTCCCTATTCTCAAATGCAAGGATATTCTTTTCTTCAGCTATTGAATGGATGACATTGGAAAAACAGGGTGGCTTCTCTTTTATACGGGGCTGTCGTTCATATAAAATTAAATCAAATGGGCACATTCCAGCCACCCCAGTTAGCTCTTTCCACCACACCTGTCCTGCCAATGGCAAAGGATTCTACAATTGTGTTACCCTTTGTCTCTATCTGTGGGAAAATTTCTTTTCTTTTTCTCTCCCTTTTTAAAATTTTCTCTGACACATGCAAATATTTCATGTTCATAAGTGATTCAAGGAAACATGAAAAATCTAAGGAAGAACCATAGAACCAATTAAAAGGAGACCTTTTGGTTTTGAAATGTATGTCAGGAAGAGAAAAGAGAAGCTGATGTGTTGTTTTAGGGGGAAATCTTCTACTGGGTGCTTTAATAAAGATGATAAAACTCCACACCTTTTCAATTACAGGCATATAACATAAATTTAATATTTCAATGCTTGTAGTTACTAGATAAAGGATAAAATGGAACATGTTAATAATTACTGTTTAATAGGCTTTAGTGCCACAATTAAATTCACAAATACATTCTCACTTTAATGATACATTTAAAATTCATCCATCTAACTGCACTTCCTGTTTTAAATTGTGTATAATTGATGTTATTTTGTCATTTAAAACAATACACACTGCTTATCCAATGTCTGCCAGGAGGTTATTTATAATTAAAGTAATATTCTTCTGGGACGGATCATTATTAATGTAATTATTGTCATGAGTAATAGAAAATTAAAAAGGTTTACATCTCATGCAACTGCCACATGAGAGAATATTGTCATCAGTTTGTTTTCCACAGGGTGTTTCAATATGTCAATTTGATCCTTTTTCTATCTGTCTTTCCTCACTTTCCTTAAGAGATTCCAGTTGTTATAATGAGTCTTATCTACTAAACATGTGCTTATTACCTAAAAACTGTGGGTGGTTTCAAAGGAAAGTGGTTTGTAGGTGACAAGTTTTCCTTCAAGAAAGCAGCATATCAAAACAAACATAAAGCAGAAATATTGAATGAAATAGCATAGTAGGGATGTGAAAGATCTATATAAATAATTAAGGGTAAGTGACAAAGGACAGACCCTGAAGTATAATGAGGTCTAATTTGAAAGGACACGCAATGGGTGAATGACATCTATGTGGTGAAATGTTACCTTGTTGCATTTTTACTGTGTATTGATTTCTCACTTGGTACTGTTAATTAAAAAGTACACCTAATTATATCACTACAGTTATTTTTCTCTCTTGGGGTGAAAAAATTGATCACCTAATTAGGAAAAAAGTACAAAACTCATTGTAAACAATTAACAATCACAACAAAGCTGAAGATAAACATGGACAGAATACTAGGATTACACCTTTGTGAAGCTTGTCCACCCCGTGGCCATCTTCTCTCTGGTCATCTATAGTGAGTAAAACCTACACTGTATATTTAGTATTTAGTGCTTTCTCCCAGCTTTCTCCCCCAGTCACTTTACAGTGTTCATTTTTCTATTGTAATCATCTCTGCCTAGACTGTTACCTCCTGCTTTAAAACTTGTGTTATGACCTTTAGCATTGAGTACATACTAGGGACTCAGTAACTGCAGAAAAGTAACTAGGGACTCAGTAACTAGGGACTCAGTAATAGTGATTAAAAGTGATGAAAGTGATGACTTTGAGCATATCAACTGGATGTTGATGGGGATATAAATAGCCAAAAATTAGTGTCTTCCAATGAGAAAGAATCATTACTACTATGTGGGAATAACTGAACAATATTATTGCCTCAACATAGAATGCTTCAGAAAACCAAAATGTAAAGCATATTGGGCCAGAACAGCAGTCATAAAACACCAAACACTACTGAGCGACTGGCTGAACATTAATGATATACTGCAAAATTCATTATTGTCATCTTGCACAAACATCCTATATAGGAAAAAAAAAGCTATGGATAAGAAATATTAGTTTATCAAATAGGTAACTACTTTCTCTGAAAGTAGTCAATCAAATCACTTAGTTTATAATTAGTTATACAAAATCAGTAGGGGACATACTTATTATTACTATGTTTAAAATAAGGTATTTATTTAAATGGTTAGAATGTCCTAGACTCTCTATTCTTTATCTACTAGGCCACCCAAATGAAACTTGGAGTTACACTAGGGAAATATATTCACCTAATTACTAGAAAGCTTTTTAAATCTGCACTCTTGCATATAAAGTGACAGATAAGATTATTACAAGACATGACACATTAATAAATAACACCTAATTAGTTTGATAATTCTTTGATTAGCCTTAATTTTCCTTGCTTCTCATGCAGTAATTCAAATTGCTCTGTATTATTTGTTCCTTTTCAGTCTATTTTAGAACATGCTTTGAATAGTCCCAGTAGGTTACCTGAGAAGGACTGTATTGCCTGACAGCAGGTCCATGCCTTTAGGAGTAGCAAGGCTGGACCCTTACAACACTGTACTGAAAGCCCCCTTGCAGAAATGTTATTCCTCTGGAGTCTGACACCTCTTTCAAGAGGGTAGGAGACAAAATTCTGAAAACGTGGGGAAAACGAAAACTTGGACTTTCACTTCGTTCCCTTTAATGGACACAAAGAAAGTCAAGTCACAAGAACATTCCATTACAGGGAGGGGAGTCTTATTTTTACTGTTTCTCCCCAGACCCTAAGTCTTTTTTCACAGGAAGTGCAGGAGAGAGCGGTGGCAGCATGGGAGGGATCCCAGCTGGCCAGAAGCACTGGAATCTATTTCTGTGTACATTCCAGTTATTTATAGTAACTAGAGTGTTTAATGGATTGATTGAGACAAATACAAAAAAAAATCTGTTACTTTTATCTTGAAGAGCTTCTACAGACTTCAAATAATCAGAAGGCAACTCCCATGGGGGCACGCCAAGCCCAGGAACTTCGCATGCCTGTAATTAAGCGTAGGCTTTCTCTCCTTTTTTCTGTCACTTCTGTCTAATTCTGTATGCTGCCTGCAGTTTATGATGCACACAGCAAACCCGACTTTGTTAATTCTGAGCCTCTGTCTCTAGAGATAGTGCCAATAACTCCTTTAATAATCTTTATAAAGAGCCTATTTGCAGTGCTTAGAAACCTGTCAACGTTTTAAATAACAAGATTATTTCTAGGAATAAATAAAGAGGGATGTTCTGGAATGATCATCAATAATTTTTCCATGAGATAAATAGTATACATCATGAATTCAATTTAAAAAACATATCATGTATCTGGTAAGGTGTGAGGCAGTAGAGATTTAAAGGAAAATGTTTCTTGAAGGTGTAGATAAGGCAGAAAAGCAAAACTTGTTAAAGAGAGAATGATAAGGATATAAGGACATTAGATCAGAAAGATATGGAAAATGGTGGGTAGAATAAACAAATTTTGTTATATTTGGGAACTCCCTATCCACTCCCACCACTATAAACTTAAATAGGCCTTATTATGTTTACCTAGTCAGATAGTATTTTAACTATATGTATGATGTGTGTGTGGACCTGAATTAATCCAGGCATTAACCCTATTAAGTAACGTTTATCATCCCATTTTAAAGAAGTCAGTGCCATGCATATTTGTTAACTGCTGTATCTACAGAATCTAGCATGGTTCTTAGAGCTCTTCCAGAACACATATAACCAAAATCATTGAGTGTATGTGATGCAGAATCTTTTTCATATGATAGTCAATATAACATTATAAATTATGTAATTATTATCCACATTTAATAGACACTAGAACCAAAACTAGAAGACATCAAGATGGCTAGAATGAACAAAATTAGTCTGGTATATTATTTGTTGATGTGGTTCTGAAAAACAGTATTTTCCTCCCCCAAAGAAAATTCTACCTGTAACAACTCTTAAATGGGTGTTCAATTAGTAAAGAACAGCTAGCACTCAGAAGGCCATGGGTGTGTTAGTGCACTTTGGCCATCAGCTCAGGAGTTCTGCAGCACTGTCCTTATCTGCCTCTTTGGACAGAGGAGGAAAGGGAGGCCTAAAGAGACTGATTACTTTGACTCAGTCATATTCAAGCCAGTGATAGGGCCTCGGTGGGAAGCCATGCAGTCTGTATCTAGAGCATAGGTGCCTAACCACCTGTTCTCACTGCCTGAAATGACCATGCATTAGATGACTGAATCCCTGTGACGAGAGAAAATAAAATAATGCAGAACAACAGAAACCATTGAAAGAAGGAAAGGAAGCTCTTGCTCCATTTTAGGTTATAAACAGGTCCAATTCTAGCATTTTCCTTACTGCACTATGCTTTTAGTAAACCGTTACATATATTTCACTGTTCTCATTTAAGTCTAGACCTCACTTAAGTTTCTATCACATGTGTATGAACTTAAACTGTCAAAACAGTGTGTAGCACCTTGAGTTGCAACATTAATTTCTTAAGTCACTATTTACTAGTCCCATCAACTGAACAACTGCTTAGTAAATTCGTCCTTTCCTTCTTCCACTTCATGTTTTTGACTTACAGTTTTAGCCATATTTCACAAACGCTATCTCATTTCCAGTCACTGAAGTAGAATGTTGCTGATCACACTCTCAAATGCTAGGGTCATGTCATTGTTCTACTTAAAATCATTCAAAAAGTCTCTTCCATGCCAAATTCCAGTTTTGCCTGATTGACCAAGTGTCTGCAATCTGTCACCACAAACTTATCAGGTCTTATTTCCCAATGCTTTCTAAGCCTAACGTATCTTCTCTGCAGTCTGATATCCTCACTGTCATATAAATACATCAATTTCATATGTACTGCTATGTCAAGTCCCATTCATTTTCTCTTTTATTTGTATAAAAAGCAAGTTCTATGTATTATTTACCACTTAGGTAAATATCCACCTTTGAAGTTCTATAGGCATGTTATCTTCCCTAATGTCAGGGAATCACAAATGTCTTTCCTCTGAAAATTGTAACATTTAGTATCTGTATAATGCAATCTAACTCAAGTTCAAATTTTTCTGTTATATATTTGTTCTCTTTTCTCTTTCAAATGATCAGTCACTCCAGTTGCTAAAGTCAGGTATCACCTTTCAGTATTCTTCTCTTCTCTACTGTGCTGAGACTGGGGCTACTGAATGTGAAAAAGCCATTCAGCATTTGTACACTGATGTATTTCACTCCCTCCTCTGGCAACCTCATCTCCACTGCTGACAGAAACTCCATACTTGATTCCCTAATTGCCTACTTCAGAGTTTGCTTTGAGAATTAAATGAGTAAAGCCTGTGAAAATACCTGGTATTAACCTTGGCCTTTAGCAGGTGCTTAAGAAATAATGTTTGGATGAGAAACTTGACATAGTCCCTTTTGCAACTGAATACCATCTGTGGCTTTAAGAATAGGTGATGAGTTCAAACCCCACATCCCCCACTTCTCCAGCCCCACCTACTCTTGTGAGGTTTGACTCCCTTCCTTTACTCCCTATTTAGGGCATCATTTTGGTTTTTCAGGCCAATCATCTCTGAACAATCTTTTACTTTTCTCTCTGTTGGTACCTGTAATAATGTGTAAATCCCATGATTCTGCATCTGTGATATCTTTGAACTCATCATAAACCTCTTTATCCCATCTCCTAAAATCAAGCTTTTCTTTTTCTCCTTGAATTTAGCCTAACTGGTCTTTCCAATTCCAGTCTCTCTAAAATATCTCACACAATGTTTCCAATTCGGTTTCTCTTTCTAGGTTCCCTGAGTGCATTGCAGTTTTCCCATCTATGTTTGAGATGCAGGGAAATTTGATCTTGTTCCTGAAGGCTTTGGAATTTAGCAAGCTTGGGTTTGAATCTCCTGTCTACAAGAAGAAACGCTTAAACTCTCTGTATCTCAAACCTCTCTTCTATGAGACAGACATGGTAAAACATTCTTCCCCAGGTTTTATGAGAATTAAGATTATTTTAAAAGCCTAGCAGAGTAAACACTCAACAACTATAGTCACAAAAGAACATTTCAAGATATTGTGATTATGTGCCTTAATAATCTCTTCAGTCTTGTATGTTTCTGTCCTTAATTTCACAGGCATATCCTATCAATATCTCAAGACCCATTTCAGTTTTTACTTTTTTCCATAAGATCTTCACTGATAAGTCACACTAGAAGTACTATAGTTTTTCAGTAAACTTCAATAGTAAAAAAGAAAACAAAAAATTGTGGGGTGGGTCATGTATATACATTATTTTATCTTGTAATTTTAACAAACTTAAGAAATAAATGTTATGAAAAACTGAGATTCAAAAACAAAAATAAAAATGCAGCCAGAGAACCTGACCTGGCTCGTGTGGCCCCTCACATTTGCTTGGCTGCCTCGAAGTGTGCTACCAGGCTCCGCGGGGGGCCAGTCTCAGTTGTTGAGTTTCTTTTTTTGAGCAAATGCACTCGCTCATAGAGACTGACATGTTTTATCTTATTTTTTCTTATAGGCTTTCCAAGGAACAAATAAAATGCTACTTATTTTTAAAAACAGAATAAAACTCGTTCTATCTTGTAATCACCGTGTGGCACCTTTGAGCAATTTAAAAATCCAAGACCTATTATGGAATCTGCATGATCTTATTTTGCTGATGTATCTTGAACATTTTCTATTTCATCAAGTTAGGATTTATTTCATTATTACTAATCAATTATTCCCAACAATGCTAAAAAAAGACTAAAATAATTGAAAAATAGAACAATGATGCAATTGTCAAATAAACACCTCACGTGTTGTTCCACAGGTTGAGTAAGCAGTGCATCACAGTTCAAGAAGGCACAAAAGGAGCTTGAAGGCATTTTTATGGTCTACTTCTAGTTTCACTGAACACAGTTTAAAATTTAGAATTTTTATCTTTCTGTCCATAACCACAAAGTGAAGGAAATCGAGAGAGGGAGATATTTCAGTGATTTAGATGAATCAGAAGATGAATTCAAAAAGACAGATAGCAGTATGCTAAACTTTAATGATTAGGGTTCAATTGAAATTGATCATTCAAGTGAAATCTCAGATCACGAATCTTCAGATGACAGTCTATTTTCTCAAATTCAAAGAATCAAGTGAATAATACATTTCAAAGGATGAAAAAGGAAATATGGTATTCTCATTCAATTAGCCCTTCAACTAAGGACTTGATCATGCAATATTTTGTGGCAAGAAACCTGAACCTTCTAATTTTGTTAAAAGGGCATGTTGCAGGACTCTTTTATCTTTTATAAAATTGGTGTGCCAAAATTTATGGTTTTAAAGTACACAAATGCTAAAGAAATGTGAGGGCAGATATAAGAAGGAAATTGATAATGTATACATTAAATATCATTAGATTTATCATTCTAATTAATCTTTACACATTTAAATATAAAATATTTTGCAATTATAAAATGGAAAGGATATAACCTTTTCAACAAAATTAGGAGCCATCAAAGATTTCAAAAATTCAACTGTTGCTTTTGATGATATAAGTAAACATATGCTAGAACTTAATAAAGCCATGTTTGAAATTGGTATCTGTAAATAAATACAGTGTGAGTTTATTCATTATGGTTGATGAGCAATTAATTCTTTCTATAAATGTTTCCAATTCGGAGTATATAAACCTTCAAAATCAGGAAATTGATGAAATAAACATTTAGCTTTGCTATGTTTAAGTTCTTATAAAAATTGTACTATCTTTTTATCCTTGGTCTGTAAAAATTTTCTAAATGATTTAAAATATTTGAAAAACCATTCAGAGGCCCAGGTGGTTATTGGATATAACTATTTATTCCTACTATACTGAGATAAGCATGCATGTTTTCTGAGCCTATATCACATACTTATCAAGTTGTCCTTAGTCATAAAATTATTTATGCCATCTCATCTTTTTTCTGGACTATCAGCTTGGCTAGAGAATTCAACAAATACTATTGAGTATACATGAAAACTTTCAAATCTTTTGTTTTGTGAAAATAATTGGATGTCTGGAGCTACAGTGATTATGTTTTTGTGAAGCAGTGTATTTTAGAGGAGTGGGAAGCATGACTGAATCTTACTTAGCTTTCTCCAATACCAGCAGTTGAACTCTGAAATACATTAGATTAAGCCATTAAATAAGAGTAAATCTGATAGAATTACATTTGACCTCCTCTCAGCAGGATCAAACCAAAAAAGCAGTTAAACACCACTGCAGTTTAAGAAAAGGATCTTCATAAAATGATAGTACAAATGAGAGTACTAATTCCTTGAGGCTCTGTCTAGCTGTGGATTTAAAGCCCATAGAAATGGAACGTCGGAACACAAGCTGCCCAACATACCTTATTGTAATCAGATAAAATTCTAATGGGTGAATACCTTCAATTTACAAAAAGAAAAAGAAAACACAGAAAGTGGAATAAATTACCTTAACATAAAATAAATCTTGGCTTAAGTACAAGTGAGACAGTAGCTAGAATTTCAATGGTTGGATAACTTCTAAGGAATAAACTTTAACTTGTATTGAACTTTAATCATAATGGCTACAGAGATAGAGCTAAAAAAAATAGTGTTACAATTACTAAACCAAAGTACTAGCCCTGGGCCTTGTACTGGAAATTTAAATTGATTTATTTATCTCTAGGAAGTATAAAGAGATCTGTGAGCCATGTGATTTTTACTTAGAGAAATTTGTTTACTTGGTTGACTCTGCTGAGCAAGGCATGCAAGTTATTTGGCCCAGGTGGAAGATGATGAAAAGGAAACACGAAAATGTCTAGCAAAATCATGATTTTCTTTTCAAAGACCCTATCTTTAAAAGAAAAGTGTTGGCATGGCTGTCACTTAAGAAAAAGGTGCATAGACACAAAGTATTAAAAAGAAAATTGGAGTTAAAAATTGATAAAGATAAATCTAAAAGAATATATCTTGACTAGCTGTATTATCGGTTCTAAAAATCAAAAGAAATTTAAAACACACACACACAACACAGTGAATTGAGTCTCAGTATTGCAGCTAATGCCTGCCTCAACCAGTTTTAATAGTTCTTTCACAATATAATGACAACTAGACTACATTAGGCCTAAGGTAATTAAATACATTGCAACACATAATCATAAAAAAATCTCATAATATTTTAAGTAAATTTGTGATTTTGTGTTGGGCCACATTCACAGCCACCCTGAACCACATGTGGCCTGCAGGCCACAGGTTGGACACCCCTGGACAATCAAGAGATCTAATGAGAGGGTTGTTAGGTCATTAAAAGTTAGCATTTCTGGAGAGAGGAGCTCTTCAGTGTCCACAAAGCCCCTAAAAGTATACATTTTAGATATACATCTACTCCAATTGCCATAGGACCAGCCTTAGTAGCACACACTCATTTCTAGATTTAAGTGGATTTTTCTTATTTTTTCAACTTAATGTAGATTGCGTCAGTACAGTAGAATTTTAGATACAGTGGAATGATCAAATCCTTATACTTTATGCTGGCTTAGTAAACAATCCCTGTCACTGAGGTGTGGATTATTGCTACAGGGAATCAAAAAGAGCAATTCAGCTCACCTTTTGGTATACAGACAAAATCTTAGCTTTAAAAAAATGTTAAGACTATCTTAGAAGTATTCTATTTAACAAGATAAAAAGCAGGTCATGGGACTTATGTCATGGTGTCAGCATACTTCATTCATAAGGTTTTTCAAATTTGAACAGTAATTTGGAATACTTTTGAGGGTTTGACAATATTATGCAAAGGTAATACTATATCCCAGAGGGAAAAATTAAATTATAGTTTAAAAACTCATTACTAATAATTAGTAATAAACTTTAGCTAAACAATAACAGGTGTCCCACGAATCCCAAACAAGAACAGATGGAAGCACAAATGTTTTATAAATACTTGATATGTGAAGAGCAATAAACTTGGCAGGAATTATGGTTTACTCTAATTGTCAGTCAGAGTCAAAGTCTTATCAGTTACATTTTTTCAAATTAATATGCCCAGATTAAATCTTGTTTCTCATTTCTTATTTTTCAAAATGCAAGCCTTATTAAATACTTTTTCACTCTGTCTTATGTATTATCTCACCAGTAAAGATAACATTATTAATTTTCCTTCCGTACATTAATGAAGCTTTACATTATTTGTTACAAGAAACAAGAAGCTTACCATGACAGTGATACATGTTTTCCCTCTCCAGGTTCTTCCTTTCCACAGTCCCACCCCACAACAAAAAAATACCAATCTACATATTCTTTAATTTTTCATACATTATAGCAATAAACCTTCAACACCATAAATGAAGGTAGGTGAAATAAATTAAGAAGGCAATTGGAAAGTCAATGAGTGGTATTAGGAAAACTAATACTATAACACTTTGGAATTATTTTGGGGAGCTAAGGTAGTAGCAGGGCACTGAGATCTGAACTCGTGGCTATTTAGAGAGTACTCACATGCAACTTCAGAAGGGCTCTCCCTGTACTATTTATAGAAAAATCTTTCTTAACTTTTGCAGAGATGGTTTCAGCTTCTCTCTGACCATAATATGTTGTTAACTTTTCAGAAAGAAATGATTGACATTATGACTATTAAGCTGTCAGCATCTCTCACTGACTTTGCACGTGTATGGTCTGCATGTCCTGTGATTTTCTTAGAAATTGCATTTTATGATCAATTAGTAGTTACTATAAAAAATTTAGGTAGCACAAGAACACAATTTTTCCTCAGGTAATGGAATTTAAATTCTCATGATCAACAATACAGATTCATCTGGTATGTAAGCAAACAGTTAATCTAATAAAAGCAAAATATGTATAGAACATAACTTTCTTAAACTATCACAGTTGAATAAATTGGGCAACACATCTATTATCTAAAATTGAATTAATAGTGTATGTAAGCTGGTACTTGTCAAGGTTGAGAAGTTTTCCTCTGCGTGGGATGTTCCCTTGGACAGGAAATGGTGAAATGAATGAATTAAAAAATACAACCATAGGAGTACTTTGTTGTCTTCTATTAGACACTTTGTCAACAATTCTACAAGGTTGTTACTCTGATCTCAATTTGAAATGATGGACACTGGAGGTCAGGTGGAATGCAATGATTGGTTCAAGGTCCAATGTTAAAAAAGGAAGGTATTAAGAATTATGTCTGTATTTGTGTACAAAGCCCTCTATTTTCATTACACTAAACTATCTTCCTGTGTTTCCATCTAAGTTTACTATGGTACTATGCATGTATGTTAACACTAATCATTTTTGCTGAGTAAGGTATTATGCTTTTCAGTGTTTCCCTTCTCATTTCAGTTTCTAACTCATTAAGAAAATTTTTAAAAAAGAAAAAAATAATAAGAAAGTGAAGAAGAGGAGGAGGAGGAAGAAGAAATAAACTTGAATAAATTACTGGAATTAAATAATTTTTTTTTCTGAGAGTGAAAGTTCTCATGATCTTCTAATTTTCTAGGACTTAGATGTGTTATATAGTTGTTCTAGATGTGATGTGCCTCTTTGTCAACATATGCATAAATTATAACAATACATTTTATAAAGATTTCCATAAAAACACTTGGATAACCAAGATTCAGCTTTCTTTAAACAATCTGCTTCAATTATGCTAATATAAATTAGTTCTTTCCTTAACAACACCAACTTCTTAGAACTATTTCCATAGTATCATCAACTTTTAAATTTGCAAAAAGCATAGCATGAGTCAAGCCTCCTTCAACTTGGGGTGGTTAACACACTATGCAATATACAAATAATATGTTATAGAACTGTGCACCTGAAACCTATATAATTTTATTAACCAATGTCACCACAATAAATTCAATAAAATATTTTTAAAGACATAGCACAAGCAGTCAAGTTACTCATTCTTAATTAAGATGTTAATAAAGAATTTTTTTTGTTACACTCTGGGTAACAAAGATAGAAGAGATGATGGATAAATTTCTTTAAGTAAAAATATACTTCTCCATTGCATTGATTATTGACTCCAAGGATGACTGTCTCCATCAGCAGTAGTTCTCTGGAGCAACTAACTCAAGTTTATGCATATGTGAGACAACCAAATTTTAATCTTTGAAAAAAAGATTAAATATTTATAATGTGATGAATTTAATATGAATTTTGCTCACTACTAAATAAATATGCATAGTTTCATTGTCTTAGGTCTTTTCTTCTAAGTTTACCAGGGGTAAAACAAGATGATTCACTTTTCACTCCAAGATATTAAAGATATTAGCATTTTTGTATATAAAGATATTAGCACTTTTTTAGCTTTCAGCTGACAATAGGCCATGCAGTACTAGAAGGTAAAATTAAAAGCCCTAATGTAGGTTATTACTTCTTTTTATTGATTTTATTCTAGATCTAACCATGCATTATGCAATATTTTTAAAAAAGAAAATACAGTTTAGTACATAAAAAAGCTGACAATCTTAGAAACAAAGACTATTAAAACAGACAAGTACAAGAATTGTTTGGAATACCTGGTTTTAAATCCCCATGGACAAACATGTCAATCATATATCGACAGAACGCATACTGATCTGACAAGAGTAGAAAGAAAAAGAACAATGAAAAAATGTCATCAACACCTTTTTTTTGCCTAGAGGAAATTGAGTTAACAAAACAAACAAAATAGTACAATTCTATTTTGGTTACTACAATTCTGTGAAGGAATAATTTCCACTCCTAGGAACACACTGGGGGATAAGACATAATAAACATATGGTTCCATTTATTTCATCCAAAAAGAATAATCTTAAAAATTGAAGCAGACTAGTTTAGGGTAATATTATAGTAGTTGTTTTTAAAAAATCAAAACCTTTTTCACCAAATATATTACAAAAGCAATTATATTAAAACAATTTTTCTCATCATTGTCCATACCCCCAAAAATGAAACAGAAGTTTTACAAGAGGAAATTGTTTCCAACTTGGAATGTTTTACCAAATATTCACTCCCAGCCCTTCTGTTAACTGTCTAAATGAAGCAGCAGAATGTTTTCTGGAAAAGGCAAGCAGGAGGACTAACCATTTTGCAATCTGTTACAGGTCCTCTGCATGAAATGCTCTTCATTCAGGAGAAATATTATTTGGTGCAGATTTACAGTACTAAATAATATCACTGTTAAGTTAACTAATTTAGTAATCTTTATTATAAGAGCATTTATGATCTTGAATAGTCTATGGTCTCTGGAAGTAGTAAGAAAGAGGAAGGCATAGGAATTGAGAATTTGGAACAGACTTAGTTAAAATGCTTTTAGAAGTGAGTTCATTTCCTTTTCCCTCTAAATTAAATACATTGTACTCAATTGTACATTTTCACATAACTTTATATTTTAATGAGGTCATTCCAACCCAAATCTCAGTTGATGAATCATTCTATAAGTTTTACCATATCTTCTTTAAAGTTTACATATTATGAATTGAATCTTATTCAAGATGATTTACATTTAATGTTTCCAAATAAGCATTTTATTTATTCAACAAATCCAAAGGTGGGTTTAGTATCAAGAGAGTTTATTGAATATGTACAACATGATACACCCTTAAGTTCTCCAAATTGTGTATAGAAAACATGAAACAATAAACCTTGTTGTTAAATAAATACACATAAAAGGATTTTTGTACATCTCACTCTTTTTAGAATAATTAACTGCATTTTTGAGTATCTCATTATTAACCTCTGCAAAATCTTTGAAAAAAATAAATGCAGTTATTACACTAGATGTAAAAATATATTTTTTATTAATACCTAAGTATGAGTAGGCAAAAACTCATCAGGTTTCAAAAATGTGTATGTATTTTGACTGTTTTATTGGAGTATAATGCTTTCCCACACGTGAGGTCTGAAGTGGGAGGGAGGCTGGTTGTGATTTCAGTCCAGGAATCTATTTGCTCCCAAACGTACTGAGAGTAGTAACACAGGTTTCCGACCCTTGGACCTGGAAACTCTCTGGTACAGGAGGGAAGTAAGATTAAGGTAGCGGGTATTTATCTTTGCTGGACTTAACTCTTTTCCTAGCAAAATTCTACAGTGAACAATTTGTCTCTAAGTTAAAGCTAAAGCAAAAGTTTATTTCCCTTAAATAGTAGATTTGAGGTTGAGCAAGTATGGATGTCCAGAAATGGCCGCTTTTCCCTTTGTTTTAGTAGTGTAAGTGATTGGATTCTTTTTAGATTTGTCAGTCTTGCATTTCAGAAGTAAGCTAATAGCTCTGGGTGGGAGCTAGTTATGGGGTGGAGGAACTGAGCAAAAAAGAGAAAGGACTCATGGACATGGACAATAGTGTGGTGATCGTGGCAGGGAAAGGGACATAAGGGGGAAAATGATAATGAAAACATACAATAAAAGAGGCAATATAAATATTAAAAAGATGGAGAATTTGCTCAAATGTAAATTTCCTGGCCCCATCACTCAAAAATTTTTATAATTCCATGGGTCTGGACCTGAGGAATATACACTTTTAAGAAACTTCTCAGAAGAGTCTAATTAGACCACATTTCCAGAATCACTGACTTAAAAATCCCTGAACTTTTTTTCACAATGATTCCTAGCCACACTATAGCAGTCAACAACAGCAATGGAGAATGTATGTGTGTGGCAGAAGTTTAGAATGCAGGGACGACTTAGAATGTGAAGGCACTGGACAACCCTCATTGATGAAATACTGTTCTCTGTCCCAAGTTGTGAGAGGGTGTTTATAACATGTGGAATAGTATATTGAAATAGCTAAAATATTTATGCTTCAATGTTTTTCATTTTGCTGAATGTTGACAATATAATGAAAATAGCTTATATATTAAATTACTAACAAAATAAAGTGCTTATATTAATTATACCAATGTTTTATGGATCCAAATGCACCAATAGTCCTATGAGTTTCCAATTTGAAAAAGAAAATCCCTTATGAATTATAAGAATGTCTATTTTTTTAATCTAGAATATTATCTGAGTTACAACACTTAGGTGGTTTCTGTTATGTTTAAATGACACTATGATTCTGCATTCTAATGCCAACATATCAATAGGAAGATGAGAAAAATATTTTTAAAATATTTTAAATTAGAAATTTTTAATATTTTCAATTAGGATGCTTATTTCCGCCTGTCTGTGGTATTGAACTTAACAATATACAGGAATTATAGGCAATTATATTTTTGGTAGTCCCTAGTATATCTGCTTCACCTGTCTCAGGAGAGACTAAAATCACGCTTCTCCAATTTTGAAAGATTTATTTTATAAAAATGTTTTTACACATAATTCAAATATTGAAATAGAAAATTTTTCTTTGAGAAAATCTGAACTGTTCTATCATCCTACCTTCAAAGTTAGGTAATAATAATTCACAGAAGGTAATTTCATATTTGATCCCCACTTCTTAGTATTTTTTTTCTCTCAAATGAATATCCTCCTAAGGATAACACACACTGTCCATTTCTCTCCTTCCTGACTCTCAGGGAACAATGATGAATGTCATTCACCTGCTGCCTTGTCAGTGTTCCCTGTGGACTGGCAGCTGAGAAAAAATGCATTTTGGGTGCAGAATGCAGCAGGAAGGAAATTTTTAAAAAATTCTCATGAGAACTGGGTCCATATGGTCAGTGCTCTTTAGGGACTCACATTAGCTACATTTTTCTTCCTGACACACAAATGTCTAGACAGTAGTTCAGAAGGAAGGAGGGAAGGAAGAAGAATGAACATAGCAGTGGAGAGCCTTGATATTTTCTTCTGCACAGATTTGCCACAGACCATCAGAAAATCAGGGAGCAATGTTCGAGCATGTCAACCCTTCTTATCCTCCTTTAAACAGATTAAGATTGTTATAAAAACTAGATGACATGATATATAATCATGCATACAATTTTATGGTAGGCATGTATATACTTACGAATCTCATTCCCATCATTTTAAATAGAAACATGTTGTTTATAGATATAATACTAACGGTAATCACATATGAATATATTTGCATGTACACTATACAAGGGTAGGCAAAAGTAGGTTTACAGTTGTGAGTACATGAAACACAGAGTTTAGTCTTGCATGATTATTTATTAACTATTATATTAGTTATTTGTATTATAACTGTAAATCTACTTTTGCCCACCCCTGTATAATTAAATAATTGCCAATAAGTGTGTGTTCTCCATGTAAAAATTTCTTTCCAATAAGTAAAAGACCTATGTTTATTCAAAAATAACTATTTAGAAATCTAGATGAAAAGAATACCTCAAACTCCTTGGGCTTAATTTAAGCTAAGGAAATAAATATTCTCTTGCCCAAAAGAGAACTAACTCAACAATTTTACTGAATCATCAGTACAAGAGTCTCAAAATCAAAGCCACCTCACAAATAGATTATTTAAAAAAACACTGTCTTCATGTTTGGTTAAAATCATAATGTGATTAGATTTTATAAATAAATGCTCTTACATCTTTGCTTAATGTGTCTGAACAGATATTAGGTATTAAATTTTTGATAACTTACCTAATGATACATTTATTTAATTGATGGTAGCAGTTCTCAATGAGAAGCTTTACTTTAGCAAATGCATTTGTTCAGCTGATAAAATCGCATTTGTGCTTTTGTTTTTAACTTTAAGTAAAATTTGAATGTCTTTTTAATAGATAAGTAGCTCTTCATATGGAAATAAAAAATAGTAGATTGAAAGTGAAAATGGTAATATAATGTTATGTTTAATAATCCTTATTATTGATAGAAATAAAATGCAATATATGTGACCAGGAAAATAAGTATTTATTTGAAATGTTATTACTTGAAAATGTTCTAGTGATGTGTCTCCATCAGTAAATATATGCCTCCCCAAACCCAAATATGCTAAAAATAAACATCAAAAAGTGTATTCATATTTCTAGTTAGCTCCTAGTAGTATTTTTTGTCTGGCTTCATGTGATTATTTTCTTTTTTAAAAGACAATTTAAAATGCAAAGTATTTTAGGATATTGATAATAATTTTAAATAACATATCAATAAATCAGAAGATTAATTTTTCTGTTATTATCACAGTAAAATCACCTATTCAAAATATTTTAAATTTACTATGTATTTTTCTACTCAAATTATTTCATAAATAACATATAGCTTTAAGAGAGGCAATAATTACTATTTTTAATTTTTTAAATAATACTATATTTAAAATTGAAAAATGGTTTGGGGACCCAAAATTTGAACTCCATTTCTATCTTTAAAAAGTATATTGAAATAAATAAAAATTGCCTAAATCAAAAATTGTATGAATAACTAAAAGAATTATTTTTTAGGTTTTAACTTTCTTTGTCCCTTCCTTCTATTCCCTTTTAGAATACTTTTCTTCTTATTCAATATATAAATAAATATTTATGAATATTGCTTATAAATTCAAGGATAAAGTCATCCAAAAATAAATGCAAGAATGGATTGCAAAAACAAATACCATATAGCTTTTATTTGGAATCTTAAAAAAACGTGTGGATTGAACATTTTATATTTTACAGCTTATAATGGGAAAAATTATTTTAAATTTCACTGTCAAATAGCTTACTCAGTAAGTTGTACAATATGTTAATTAAAATATCATACAAACCATTTTTTAATTTTAGTCCTCAAATCATATTATTCAAAACTACCGGAGTAAAGAAAAATATTACTTTGCAATACCCCTAAGAAACCTGTGTAGAAATAGTCTCTACAGAGTAGATTCCACATTCTGTTCTGGGAGTCTCAGGATTGTGTGGCAGCTGGTGCCAGGAATGGACTTAGGGAATGAAAGATTCAGTAAGGAACAGAACTGTGAGACAGTAAGGCCCTCAGCTGCTCTTGTAAAGCTCCACCCTTTTATGTTTACATAGCACCTTTCCATAAAACATTTCTGGGTTTATATTTCATCTCCATTTAAATGCTCTATTTCTGTTGATAGGGATGTAAGTCTGACTTCACTCTTGTGGAGGACCAGCACAATACGTCAGACAAAAAGCTTTCTAAAGCCTAACATGTATGTAGCCATAGAAGCTGGCAAAGAGACTTAAGGGACTTTTCCTTATACCTTCCTGCCCATTAAATTAACTGAATTTAATAATTTGATGTATGTTCTAAATTAGGTGCTCTTGCAGAAGCAACAGGAATGTATGGATACTTTCCATAATATTTATTCTATATATAGATAAATATATAACCCTTAAAACACTCCATGAGAATGATTATTTTTCTCCAAAGAGTATACACTGACAATTTTATAAATACTTAAAAGTGCATCTTTAAATATGTGGACACATTTGGGTAGTTCTATGAATAAATTTTAATTCCCAATTTATTGTACTTCTTTTCAGGTGTATTTACTTATACAAGTATTTTTCTCCCATTTGATGTCTGATCTCAGTCTTTTTCAGATTACAATTTCACTGTATCTGCTTCTTGCCCAATGTTCTCTTAGAACCTCCAGCAGCCTCGTCTGAATGTTTACCTTTCTGTTCATGCTTGGACACAGCTACGGTCTCCTTCTCATCCTTTTCTTTGGGCTTGGGTGGTGTTTTCTGTACTTCTTTTGCTTTTGCAGCTGTCTGCTTCACTTTCTCCTGTTTCCCACCTTTCAGTTCCTTTTTAGTCTTTTCTTCTGTCTTCTCCTTAGTCTTAGTTTTCTTCTCTTCTATGTAGGTATAAGAAAAGTTGAATTATTTCTGTTCATTTACCAGCACAACATTTCATCTTCTACTGGTTGTTAAAAACAACTTTAAAAGAAAGAGAAAAGAAAAATAATAGAAAAATAGAACCTTGAGATAAACACTTGACATAAATACTATTATCTGACATTTTTCTAGTTTATGAAGTGCCATGTTAGAGAACCAAGTAGAAGGAGGAGGAGGAGAAAATAATGTTGGACTCTTTCCTAATTTGTACATGAAAACATTGGCTTTTTAGGTAGTTAGGAACTTAGTATGTCAATAAGGAGACATTTCAAATATACAGAGGATGTATATACAGGCATGTTCAATAGAAAGCAATTCTCAAACCAAAAAGCCCAATGAAAGAGACCAGTTTAATGGATAGGATCGTTTTGTTCCACAACTGAGTATCTTAAAAGTCATTCAAGAAACTGAACTGTCAATACAGTATTTTTAAAAGATAACTATTAGGAATGCAAACGTAAAATTACTTGCCCTGGTGGCGACTAATAGGAATAAAATGACACAATCCTTTAAATGATGACTTAGAGACATTCAGTTTCTAATTACTTGGTTTTAAAGAACAGAAAGAGAGCAAGAATTGACATATTAACACCTGCCAATCTTAAATCAGAAATAATAATTTTAATAACTTTTAAAGTACTTAAATTATCAGTAAACATAAGCAGCTATAAACTAAAATAGGTATAAATATCTATGACTTAGAATATATACATGTATTTCCTATACAACCATATTTTTAATTTGATATTATTCATGTTTGGAAGGAGGGAACTTGTAATGTGAATCTTTCAATTAGTTGTTTAAAGTAATAATAATATAGCATACATTTCTGGAAAATTGTTTATAATAGATTCTGCAGATTGGAAACTATGTATTCTAAGGGATCACACAAAACCAATAGAGACCAAAATAAGTCTACTACAATGCTGTCTTCTCATGTTATTTATCAATGTAAAAGTTAACCTTTATTGTCACTCATGTTGAAGAACTTGATGAAAGTATTTAATCAAGTACCTTGACTTTAGTACACTGAGCAATAATTTGAACTAAGACAATATTGTGAGGTTCAGAGAAGAATAAAAAGAACATTGGTAATGCCTGATGATTGCAAAACCAGAATTGCCTATGGTGCTTTAAAGCATTGTTCCTCAGAAGCTTTTGGGAGATGTTGATACACATATACATGCACATATATACAATTGCATGCACAGTTTGTTTACATCTATGACCCCATAAGAATATAACTACGTAAATAAAGTATTTGTGATTTGTGGCGGGCCAGGCTGACTCAACATAGTCCCAGTGATCCTTACCTCTTTATACTCACACTTTTATATAATCCTTTACCTCTGAAAATGGGTTGGCCTAGAAGTTTGCTACTAACCAATAACATGTGACTTCCATGATTAGTGTACATAAGATTGTTACCTTCTTCCTTTTGCTATCAGTTTCTCTTTTGCTAGGTTTGATGAAGCCAGCTATCATATCAGTGAGACTCATTTGACAGAAAACTAAGGTTGGTTTCCTGTCCACAACCACAAAGAACTGAGCCCCTCATTCAACAGGCCTCGAAGAACTGAATCCTGTCAATAAATATGTAAATGAACCTGTAAACGTTGCTTCCCCAGCTGAGACTTCGGTTGGGACTACTGCCCAGTCTAACACATGGATTGCAGTCCTGTGAGACATTGTGAAGCAGAGGACTGAGCTAACCCATGCACAGCTTCTTGGGCCACAGAAACTGTGGATAATATATGTGTATTGACTTGAGCCTAAAAATATGTGCTGTTTTTTCCTCACAGCAATACATAACTAATACAGTATTAAATATTTATTAAAGAAATAATTGATTCATTTATTTTATAATCTTTGGAAAGAATGTTTGATTTATACATAGGTCACTTGGATTTTGTCTTAGTGCTATTACTAGCTATATGATCAGGCCACATCAGCCTTTCCCTGGAGGTCAGTTTCTTTATATATATATGTGTGTGTGTGTATATATATATATATAAATAAATTTGTATGAATTTATTTTCATTCAAATCTGTCAAAAAAGAGAACTAAATAGAATAAAATAACATGTATTGAGTTATAAATATCAACTTGAGACTAAATGTTACCTTCTAGGAAAAAAGTGTCAATTTGCAATTCATCCATTTTAACTTCAATGCAATGATACTTGGTTATCTCATTGAAAAATAAAGTAAAATTATATTTGCCTCAAATATCTAATTATTTGACACTGTATGGATAAACCCATTGAATTTTGAAAATGGATTTGAATTTTAATCTAAATGACTTGTCCCTTAAAAATGCTGGGTTAAGATCTCTGTACTGGTTACATAAAACATATATTAAAATATAAAGAGGAAATCAAAATTTAATAGATATTGAACTATCAGTTAGAATTTATATTTTTCTAGCAACAAACAATTTGTAGACAAATTTAGAATAGTGAAAGCTGATACATGCAATCCTCCAAATATTTAACATTACATTGATATTCTAATTTATTTTTTTGGCTTATCATTAATAAATGGGAGTCTTGAATAGTGAAAATACTAACCAAGATGCATTTATTATCTTTTCTTCTTGAAAAATTAAATCATAAATTCTATTTTTTTAAATCAAGCTCAAGGTATAATACTGGTCAAAAGCTATTAAACATATGTTGTCTCAATTTCCTATTGGTATAGTAACAAATTATCAAAAACATCTTCTTAAAACAACTTTCATTTAATATCTATTGGTTTCCATGGTTCAAAAGTCTTGGCACAATGTGGCTCAACTGCATTCTCTGTTTAGACTCCACAAGGCTCAAAATCAAGTTTTTGACAGAGCAGCATTTCTTTCCAGAGGCTCTGGGGAAGAATATGTTGACAGGATTCTTCTCACACTTTCCATGTGCTCTCGTCAATTTTCAAGCCAGCAGTGGGGGAAGTTCTTTCCACTCTTCAAATCTTTCTTTTCCCCCTTTGTTATGCTTTTAAATGTTCACGAGATTACATTGAGCCCACCTGGATAATCCAGGAAAATCTCTGTATTTTAGATCAACCTTAACTGTTTCTGCAACCTCCTGTTTGCCATGTACTATAACACAGCCACTGGCATGACACCAGGGAATGACTGTCACGAGGGCTGGACGTCTGCGCACCCTCTGATGGGAAGGCTCTCTATTCTCTTCTCATATGTTGCTCTGTTTTCTTAAGTATTCAGTTCTACTAATCTCTCAATATTAAATTTAAAATGTAAGACCAAATTAGTTTTTATGCAAGGAAATATTAAATGATTATGATCACCCTACTGTTACCCCAAAAATGTAAACTTTAACAGAAAAAGAATTTAGTTATGGAAATAATAAAGGGAAAATTTACCTTTTGCCACTGTCTTTGATTCTGGTTTTTCTTTTTTCTCAATTTTTTCCTTGTGAGTTGCTTAAACAGAAAAGTTTATATTAAATTTAATAGATTTATAGACCAATCTTTCTCTTTACCTCAGTTTCACAGCTACCAAAATCATGAATGATTTCAAAGATATATGACATTAATGAACCTAATTTGGAAGAAGAGTTACCAATGTAATAATAACTGAATAGAGCCTAATTTTAAAGAGTTGGCATTAAGACTTAGAAAGCATTTTGAACACTAAATCTTCCTTTCCTTTTTAAAGTTATTATTCCACACAGATAAAGTTTTCAAGAAAGACAAACAGAGAGAGAGCAATTTTATAAGAATTTGCTGAAAGATATATCATTTTATCAGGAAGAAGTACTCTCTTTGGGATCAATAAAAGGAAATACTTAAATCAGGACTAGAGCTTTGATTATGCACAGTATTTATCAACAAGGATGCTACTGAATAGATCTCATGAGGCTGGGCTGTCTTATGCATTGACAAAATGCCTAGCTTCTCTGGTCCTTGCTTACCAAATGCCATCCACCCCAAGGAGACTCTGACAACCAAAAATGTTTCCAAATATTTTTTAGGGATAGCAACTTTGGTTGATTTACCCAAATAAAAAAATTAAGAAAACGTAAAGAATGAGTGCACCTTCTTAATTAAAAAGTATTAAATATGATATCTGAAATATTATACATCTCATTGTCTATGTAATAAATTAATAACTCAAGAAGAATTCATTTTATTAACTTAAAGTTTACTTCCATACACTGGTAAAATTTTGTGTGTCTTTCAACAGTTTAAGGGAAAGAGTCCTGAGAATTATAACAGCACATGCAGCTTTTTCTTATAATTCAAATACATTAAACTGCATGGTTTGTCACTTACTCAAATGACCATACATTCTCAACATTTACATACTATTTATTGAAGAAAATAGGATAACTAAATAAATCATAGAAAATTAAATGATGATATAGATTTAATTAAATAGGTGGGGTAAAGAAAGAGCCAAATTATTACTTAAAAATTGCGCCCCAATTATTTCCATTTCTCCAACAATGTATAATAGTAATGTTTTATAGTATAAACTTCACTTATACTATAAAAATATGCTTAATATATGTGTTTAAAAATTGTTCTTTTAAAGTATAGTCTATACTCTCAAACAATACTTTCAATAAAGGCCTAATACTCAAAATATGTAAAGAATAAAAAGAGTTCAACAGCAATGACAAAACAATCTAATTTAAAAATGGACAGAGGACCTGACAGACACTTTCTCAAGAAGACACATAAATAGCCAACAGATATGAAAAAATACTCAACTTCACCAGCTTTGAGGGAAATGCAAATCAAAACCACAATGAGATACCATCTCACAGCTGTTGGAATGGCTATTAACAAGACAAGAAATTTCAGGTTTTGGAGAGGATATGGAAAAAAGGAACCCTCAGACTGCAGGTAGGAATGTAAACTGGTACAGCTACTATGAAAAACAGTATGGAGGTTCCTCAAAACCTGAAGAATAGAGCTACCATATGACTCAGCAATCCCTCTTCTGGGTATCTCCTCAGAAAATTGGAAAACATTTCTTCATAAAGATATGCGTATTCCTATGTTAATTGAACCATTACTTATGGTGGCCAACCACAAGTATCCTTTAATAGATGGTTGTATAAAGAGGGTGTGGTATGTATATATACTATGGAATATTATTCAACCATAAGAGAAGATGAAATACTGCCATTTGTGACAACCTGGATAGATCTTGAGAACAAAATATTAAGTAAAGTAAGTTAGATGGGAAAGAACAAGAACCATATAATTTCACTCACTTGTGGGCTAGAAAAGAGAAAGCTGCAGACAAACTAACAAAGCAAAAAGAATCCTAACTGATGCAGACAACAGTATGTGTCTACCAAAAGGGAAGAGGGGTTCGGAAGTACAAGAAGGTGAAGGGGATAAATAAATATATGATGATGGAAGGAAACTAAACTTTGGGTGGTAAGCACATAATGCAATGTACAGATGATGTTTTATAGTACTGTATACTTGAAACTTATATAATCTTGTTAACTAATGCCCCCTTGATAAATTTGATTAAATCAAATGTATGGTACATATACTGTAGTAAAAAATAATCATCCATGAATGGTTTTCCCTGAATCTTGCTGAGATAATGCAGATCTCATAGAAAGCTTACAGCACAATGTCCATCTGAAGACTAAGTGATCCTGGCAGCTGCAGAGCTACCGAGATAGCACTTGCCTTTCCCTACAGGGTTTCAGCTTCTCTACCTCTCTGTTTGCACCACACAAATCTCCAATACCGTTTAGAGTTATGGGTAATGACTCGGGCAATAGCTGAAGGAGCATTGTGCCAGGCTAAGCAGTGCACAATTGACACAAGGTGACGGGGCTACAACATAATAATTAATATCATAAAAACAAACTCCTTTAGTTAGTATACAGTACATAAAAAGGCATTTACCATGGAGCATCTTGTTTCTGACTTTCAATTTAGACAACTTTCTTGCAACACTTATAATTAAAGGGCAACAAATATTTTTTTAACAAAAAAAAATTTAGCAACTGTGTGGGTTGAAAAACATCATAAGAAATATAACAGTATTTCATTTGGCCAGAGTACACAGAATCTGATTCTAATAACTCTGCATAACTCAATAGTGGACAGGAAATGGGCACCTACTTCTAGAAAAGAAAAGATGAAAAGATGGCTATATTGTAATATGTGGATATTGTAAGTGAACATTAATAAAATAACCTTTTAATTCAAATTTTCAAATGTGAGGATAAAGATTGAAGCATGTTTCAACTGATCTGATTTATAAATATCATAAAACATTCTAGATAAATGGAATATTCCACAAAACAAGATAATTTAGCAGGTTATACATATAGTGGATACACAAATCAACCGAAATCTAGCCCAAATATACAAGACATAATCTACTCTAAAACAAAAGCAAAAAAGTAAATGGGAATTTTGCTTCACATCATACATTGAAATGGATTATTGATGAATTAAAGTAAAATGTGAAATATAAAAATAATTTTTAAACTTAATGAAAATTTTAATAGCTATTGATTTAATCTTTGGATAAAGATTTAAAAGCAGAAAAAAAACCCTACAGAAAATATTAACCTATCTAGCCACATAAAAATGAAAGACTCAACATATATACACTCATACATATCTATTCATACAGACAGAAACCTTTACATTAACTACAAAACTGAGAAAAATATTTGAAAAAGTAAGAGACCAGAAATATATACCCAAATGACATGCACACATATCATCAGGAGGAATAGGTAATGAGTGTTAATAGTTATACAAGAAATATAAATTGCTAAAACTCATGCTTAACTCCTTAAATCTTCAGATAACAAGCAGTTAAAAATAAACTGAAAAAATTTCTGATTAAATGCACTTTTTAAAAAGATAATGAGACAAATATCTATGTACTGATATTGGAAGTTCTCTAGAACATATTGATAAATTTTAAAAATCAGTATAGAGGACATGATAGGTTTTGTGTAAAAAAATGAATACACAATATACTGTGTTATCTTATACATTTATAGGGAATCTCTGAGAGATACATATAAAATATACAGAAGTGGTTTACTGTGTGTGTGTGTTTAGGAAGGATGGAATTGGAACCTGAAAAGTTGGAACAAGGCAGCAAGCTTTTCACAATGTATCTTTATGTAATAAACAATGTATCTTTATGAATCTGTGCTATGTATTCTAAACAAATAAATAAAAATGAAAAAAGTTTTTTTAAACACCTAATCTAATAGGTGATCAAAGGATGCAAGTTAAATAATGAAGTATGCTTTCTTATGTATCAAATATTTTCTCAAATAACATCCTCATTATTGTCTAAGGCAGTCTCAAAACTGCCAGAGGAAAAATTGATACAACTTTTCTAGACAGTAAATTGGTAACAGAGTTCAAGAGTCTTAAGTATTTCATTTTCTTTAACCCAGAAATTATTCTCTTCAGATTCAATTCTAAGGAAATTATAACAATATAATTAAAAATATAAATTTATGAGCATCTAAAATCAGATGTAAAGAAGCAGAGGCCAAATAGGAAGGGGCCAATGTCTAAAATCAACACTAATAAAACCCATACCTTTCTTTTCAGGTTTTTCTTTTTCTTTTCCTTTTACTTTGTCTTTTTCTCGGTGTGTAACTGGAAAGAAACAGACAATACTTTTTAAGTAAACAGAATAAATGATCAGATTATCTTCAGTGTCAAAACTTATTTTCTGCCTTTGAAAATCTTTTCTTAACTGAAAAGATTTTACATAGTGAGAGGTTTAAATGTTAAGATGATTATAGCATTTTTCTATTTTTATTTCACACCCAGCACAAACTTATACCAAAACGCAATCTGATTGCAAAGATAAGAATATCCTTCAGCTTTTCCAAATCTTTAACTTCAACCTAATTAAATGGAAAAGATGCCTATCTCAACTCTGGAGAAATGCCGAAAATAAGAGAACAAAATTATACAGGAGATAATCTTCTGAAGCTGAAGCAAAGTATAATCAACCTACATAGCATGTGGTAATCATCTAAAGAAACAATTCATAATAAAAGTTTTGGAAAATATAGTGAGATGAGAGTAGGTTGACACCCAATTCCTTAAAGAAAACATTATTTAATTTAATATGAACTGTGATCTAATTAATTGATATAGCAGGGGTCCAATTTAAGTCATAATTTTACCCCACAATTTAGTCCCAAGTCTTGTTGATGGTACCTCCAGTCATCTAAGCTAGAAAAATGTGACTGATCTAGGATCTCTTTTTTCCATTATTTTCCATTTCTTTCCCTGTATCAAACTCTTTAATACTTGTTTCATACTTCTCTTCCCCATCTTCTTTTACCCAATATTACATTTTCTGCCTATTATTTCTTTACACAGAAATATAGAAAGAGCAACTGCCAAGTGCTAAAGATCCTGCTAGACAAGACAAACTCCATTCCTGTCATCGGAATGTCACCAAGCTAATGGATGGTGCATGCTAAACAAATGATCACAAAGATAGTTAATTTGCAAGGAGACCTAATCGAGTCCATGTGTATGGAGAGGCCCTTTGGTAGAAGTGATATTTAAAGATATGAAAGATGAGAAGAAATTAACCTAGTAAAGGAGTGGGAAGGAGAAAGAGAAAAGAGACAATTTCAAAAATTGAAGTAGGATATACTTATTAGGTATATTATTATTACCTGTATTATTACAATAATATCCTGACTAGTCTCTTGACTTTTAGACTTAGGTTTTTCTCTCTCAGGGTAACATTAATAACATCAAAATCTGGTTATATCTTTTACCAGTTAAAAGAGTATCTCCTTCATTGCTTAGCATGGAATCTGTCACATAGTAGGTGTTATATCAACTACACAAATATCTTACTGTTCTCGTTGATCAGACATTTGCTAATCAACTCAATCTTATCCACCAGGAATTTCCCATTGAACTTTACATTCCACTTATAACAAGCTCTTTGAGTTCTACAAGCAAACCATGGGCACCGCTGATGTCAAGCATCTGTGACTGCTGGCCTTTCACCTGGAATTCCCACACCCACATTTCTTTTCTTCCATGCACCCTTTCCATCCTGGCTCAAATGCCTTCACCTCTATGAAATGTTCTTTGATTTCTGCTTATGTCATACCGCAACTGTGCCATGGGAGTAACTCTGTTTTAACTATTCCATAATAACACTATATTGTTCATATATCTGATACCCAGTAAGTGAAATCTCCTTAAGGACTACAGTACTACAGGGTATTATTTTATTTTTGCACATGTGGCTCACCACATGGTGTCTGTCACATACTGGGCTCTTAGCAGGTCATTTTACATAGCTGAAATTCTAAAATATTACAAAGAGAGTTAATTTTATTTTCTAGGGCCATTTTATCCATTAATCATGAACTATAGATCATAACAAGCATTGTTTGTCTCAATCGTTTAACTTTTTTATGCATTAAAAATTCCTTAAGTAATACAAACCCAGTGAGAAACAGAAGAAAAATAAATTGCAAAACATTATTTTTCCACATTCAATGATTTCTTAGGTGTTTCTGAGTTACTAAATTGAATATAAATACCTGACAAAATAAGGAGAAGACATCAGTATTCACATATAACCACAAGTAGCTTATTTTGGTTTCTTTGGTTACTATTAATTAAGCTGAAAACCAAAATAAAATCTTGGCAAAAACAAAGCCTCTTTCAAAGGTTCTCGAGAGGAAACCACATTTGTGTGAGATAAGCTGTGGTTTTGGAACCCTGGCTGGCAAGGTCCCCAGGAGGACACCTGCTCTGTGCCGCTGCCGCTGTGCAGGGCGGGACCTCACCCACCAGGACAGCTGGCTGCCCCCAGCACCGAAGGATGTTCCGGTTGACATGTGCACGGGTGTAAATGGGAGCATTAATGCGAAATCAGATGAGTAAGGGGGCTGAATTCGTACTCAAAGTGGCATGTTAAGGACTCCTATTACCCTGTGGGAAAATCTCGTTCCTCACAGGCTAAGTTTTGATTTACAGACCCAGTTCTGTGTGCTGGCATTTCATTACCCCCCTCAGAAATGGCACCGCAATACTGTTTCGTGCAGCAGCTGGACCCATGTGCTCCAGGGGAGCTGTTCAAAATGGTAGACAGCCGCTAAATCTTCTTGGACAGAAACTTCAAACTTTGGCAAGACTGGCCTCAAATACCAAGTTTTAAAATTCCTTTCACCAAAACAATGCAGCCATCAGTCACTGCCTTAACAATCATTCTAAAAGAGAAATCATTTGCTATATCAATGGGATTTTCTTGTATATCTCTTTATTTACAATCCACAGCTTGAAGTTTTAATACGGAAGAAGAATAGAGTACCTGTTTTTGTTACAAGATCTGTTTGGCAGGTTCCTTCTTAGCTAGGACAGTTTTAGCTCAGGATAAAATAAGCTTGTTGCACCTGCTGGAGCTTAATTTGTTTGTCATCCTTATTTACAAGAAACAAAAGTCCCTTTGGTAGGCTGATAATTAAAAACAAATGGAATCCACCAGTTGGAATAGCCCTGATGTTTGGCATCTGAGTTGGCATGGCCCTGCTGTTCCCGCACTTGCCCAGACTCTGACCTTTCCCTGACCAGAACATTCAGCTCAACTCAACTCTGAAGTGTGTCTCTCAAACCTCCCCATATGGTCCCTCTCCAGCACTCTGCAAGCTGTGCTTTGTGCTTTCACAGCGCTTGGCTCTGGCAACCTGCCAGTCAGGCTCTGTGTCCTTTTCTGAAGTGTATCAGAGCTCACAGTGCTCCTGACCTTGAGGTTCTTATCCAGCAAAGCCTTCCTAAGAGCTAAGCAGAAGGAATTCAGGGCCAGATTGTTAGAGCTCTTTGCTGATCTCTCTGCTCTTAGTTCAAAAATCAAAAGTTTTGGTGTCAAAAATGTTAAAGTACTATTTTGTATAGACTACTGTGTTCTTCAATGGGTGGTTAGCAAATAAATTTAATTAACCAAAACTCTGGAATTCTCAGAGCTACTGTACAGGATGAATCTTGAGTACTCAAATCAAAAGAAACCAGGTGGAAAAGCAAGTAACCATCACACCTCCATATTATAAAAGACTTTGGGGAACATGGTTAGCTGTAATAGATTTTGCTGATTTTTCTTTTAATTAATTTCACTGTTTCTCAGCCTTCTAGTGTTTTTGTTGTGGAAGGTATTAGCACTGAGGCAGTTTACAAATTTTAAGTGTGTCAAAATTTCAAACAGCTTCATGAAATTCATATATATCCATCCTTAAATTCATCATTTCTTATGAAAGAGCAAAATACATATTAATTTTAACTCCTTTAAAAAATTCTGCTTTAGCCACCACTAAACAAAAATTCCAGATGTATCCTTGGTTAGTGCATATGTCTCTGAGTGTTTCACTTTTTTTGTAACTGATTTGTATAATTTCCATTCTGAGGTCAGGCAAAATATCTACACACTTTAAATAATAATAATGAACTCAATGGAAAAGTATTCTTCAGTACAGAAAATTTTAAAGATTGTATTATTCATTCCTGCTACAGGAAGAATTTATCATTTTTAATTTGATATAAGCATCTCACTTTAAAGCTGGTTGGAAGCTAAAGAGGTCAATGAGCCTGAACTATTTGTCCCTAGGTGGCAGGTGGGGGAGGGAACACAGGCTTCTAAGAGTAGCATAGAAATATAGTTATTAGATTACTAAACTAGTATTCTTTCCCCCAAACTAGGTTTCTTTGTATATCTCAAAGTAATAAACCCATTCTATGGGCCAAAGTGTGTTGATTGGATTCTTTGAGCATGTTATCTATCATCCCCCCTACAACAGCATACACACATCTTTGTTCATAACAAAATGACATTTAGTTATATTCTATTAAAGTGAAGATTAGGCAAATTACCCACATTTATAAAACTTATCTGATACATGTGCTTCAAATCACAACACATAATTTTAAATTCCAAAATATAAGCTTTACTTTCAAATCTGTTTTAACTGTATGAGTAATTTCCCCTTCTCCTGGGGCTACACAGCCACACTCAGAACCGCAGCTCCTTCCTCCTCAGTGAACAATCACTGTGGAGGTGAGGCACAGCTTCCTGGAGAGCCTTCTGGTTTCATTTCCCAGGTTTATCTCTGCTGCCAGAGAGGAAAAGAAAATATATTTTGTGAAATAAAAGTTTATACAATACAAGCTGATTAAATTAATTTGTTGGCTTTGAAAGTGTTTTTATAGAGAGATCCATGATATTTAGATGCATTTTAATGTCATGTCCTTTTTGACTTTTGAGCCTCAATCTTCAGCAAAATCCTTTGCCAGCTTATGATTCCTGCTCTGTAATGGTTTCCCAGAAGTGATCCTAAGCCAGTCAATCAGGATCATTGTTATAAATTACCCTTTTTAAAAATGGAATCACTCTTTAAAGTAGACAATTTCCTAATCACTATGCTGTACATGCAAAACTAGTACAGAATAATATTAAATGTAAACTGTAATAGAAAAATAAACACACACACACACACACACACACACACACACACATTCTGTCCAGAAAGTATCCATACATGTACTATTAAATATAGAGACATTTAGTGAAGAAGATACAAGAAACATTGAACACAGGACAATGATGCCTCAACCCCCTTCAAAGTAGGCACCTTGAGATCTCTCACAGTTCTCCCAGTGTCTCTTCACTGTTCTAAACACTCCAAAATCTTTTGTTTTAATCACTATCGGCTGCCCATCATATTTTCCCAAGTCTCATCGATGGTCCCAAATATCTTCCATTTCAAAGATGATTTTACTTTGGGGAAAAGCTAGAAATTGCAAGGCACTAAGTGGGTTATAGGGGAGGTGAGTCACCTGGGTGATTTCATGTTTTGCCAAAAAATTCCACATGAGTGGGCATGTTGTTTTGACAAAGCTGCCAATCACCAGTTGCCCATAGCTGAGGATGTTTTCATCACATTGCATCTCTCAACAAAGAACATTGAGGTAGTACTCCTTATTAATTATTGGGCCTGAAGGGGTCTACTCATGATGGACAACACCTTCCCAATCAAAAAAAAAAAAAAAACCACACAGTTAACATGGTGTTGCTCTTACAGAGACTCAGTTGCACCTTTTCCAGGCATGGAGAACCAGGAGACTTCCAATGGGATGACTGGACCTTCATTTCCAGATCATAGTTATAGACCCGTGATTCATCTCTGGTTATGGCCTTCTTGAGGAAATATGGTTCATTGGTAGAGGTTTGTATCAAGTCAATAGCAACTGCAGCATGGTGTTCCTTCTGCTCTAGTAGCAGAAGCCACTGAACGAAGTTTGCCATGACACATTTCATGCCAAGATTCTGTGCCAAAATCTTGGACACAGTAGTTCTTGGAATCCCCAGATCAGCCTCTAGTTCCCACACTGTCAGTCGCTGATCTTTGTTGATTGCGGCCTGTACACACTCAACATTCTCAGGTGTTCTGCTTGTTGCAGGAACTTCTAGGATGTGGGTCACTTTCAATAGATTCTCAACCATCTTCAAAGCATTTGTGCTGCACTTTTATTTTGACTGCACTTGCTGCATCATCCCCAAAAGCCTTCTGAAACATCTGAATAGTTTCCAAGAAGGAATATTCAAGTCTAATGCAAAATATGATACATATTGTTGCCCTACTCACTCATTTTTTAATGTGATGGCCACACAGTACACGTGCTCACTCAGCAGTGTGTACTGCCCCTGCTGACTAGTACAGTGAAGTTTTCATTGTTCATGTAGGTACATTCCAGTCTACTCTCCTCGGCTTCCAAGTTACGTCCATGTCATGCAAACCATTTTTATTGTATAAACCATGGCTGGACTTTCTCCAGACAGACCATATATATATGGCCTGTGGTCAGTTCTGCACCTAAACACCTGCAAATCCAGGTGAATGTAGAAGAAACATACTGTTCTGAATGCCTAAAGGGCCCTCCTGATGTCTAGAAGACATCATGGACGAAGTTTTCTCATCTACTTATATGTTTGCCACCAGGTTCCAATCTTTTTAAGTTTGCTGTGTTCTATGAGTAAATCGAAATGCTTCATAGTCATATAGAAGCTTAAATGTTATCTGAAAATAACCAGAAAATTTGCAATTGCAAAGAAACAAAGCAATATGCAATTAAAAAAACAACTAAATGGAGGAAAAACTGGAGGAAAATAATGTTATCATTTATTTCTGTGTAATTAGGTTGTGGTTATTTTTCTTTCTTTTTTATTTTCATAATTGTACAAATTAATTTGTATCACTTTAACCTATAGCATTATATTATAAATTTTATTGTGGGTGTTTCCTAATTACATCTTACAGATTGTTTTTGTTTTAATATGAAGCTCACTATCAAATATGCCAATTACTGCTAACCAAATAAATTTGACATTAGAGTGGTGCAATTAAAGCTGAATAAGTATATATGTATTTAAAAATAGAAAACTCAAAGGAAAATTATTCATAGGCATCAAGTACAGATTAACCAAATAGGGAAAATGGATACTTTATTAAGTAATTCATTATTTCAACATTTACTGAGTGTGTTTCATGTGTTGGATACTTTGCTAGATGTTAGAATAATTTTAATTGAATATTAGCACACATTCAGGGCTGGTAAGAATCTGAAAGACCATTGAGTCTGAATCTCTGCTCATAGATAAAGAAACACAGAATAATAGGAGAGAATGCCAGGGGCCATAGGTATTAGCAACAGTTCGGTGAATGGCACCTAGGTAATCTAGGAGAAGTTAAATTATGGTTGTAAATTTCTTCTAAGCAAATATATTTTTTCACTGTATTTCCATATCAACACAGGGTCAAAAATACATACATTATTCTGATCACAAAATATGTTACTACCTCTTTTATGTGGGAAGAACAAGGTTAATTTAAAGATAAACATCAACTAATATGCGAGAGCTTATACCTTAAAACCAAAATAAGTACTCAATGCGAGGTTATGAATCAAAGGGCTTACTCTTTAGCTTCCTGAAACTGTTCCCTTTTTTCCCTAATGTAAAATATCAAACAAAATAAACATATAAGTAAAATAGGAATAAAAGTTACCTTGTCCTCATTAATAATTAAAATCACTTAGATAATGTGGACAACTATAAAGAGTACATAATTTTCCCCTAATTTTATATGAATAAGAATCAGAATTAAAACAATAATTCTTTGACACTTTAAACATGAATTAGTTAACATATTTATATGAAATTATTTTGAAAATGTATGTTCTCTGGGATTTGAATTCTTTTGCTTTCTCTGTTCTAGTAGATGAGTAAAGCATCTAGGTGTGGACTTCCTCGGCATTCCCAATAACTTCGTATTCTGAAAACCTTTTAGAATACAATATAAATCTTTTTAAGGAGGAAGAAAAATAATAAAGACAATAGGATGTGACCTAGCTTCTATCATCACCAAAATTTTTATCTCCCCCTAAAATGCACCAGCTTCAGCATAATGGATCTTTTTAAACTCAGATATTTGCTGGTTTTTTATAACCATTGCAGACTACTATTTACTTGGCTACACCGTGTCTCATCTTTTAAGGGTTCAAAATGTTTTGATAACACTTTACATTTCTAATTATCAATCACATCTATTCATAACTGATAGGGAATATGGCATATATAAACATATATTTATCTACATATGTGAACAGTTATGAAACCTCATTTATTTTTTCACTGAACAGCTTGAAAATAAAGGCAGACATTATTCTACCTGGATGAGGAAACTCAGCAGTAAAATGAAATCTTCTGTTTATATTCATGCAGAAAAATTGTGGAGAAAAGAAACTATCCCTTAAGCCCGTTTCCGTGTTGAACAGCTGAAGTTCCAGGATGTATATTCAGGTACTAATCTCTAGCCAAGCTTTTGAGAAAGTTATTTTAAACCTCAGCCAAATTCACGGTCTTAATTATGCAAGACTCACTAGTTTAATAAACCTGCTCTACAGCCCACTGCTCAAAGTCTTTAACAGCAGAATTCTAATAGAGCCAGGTCCAAAATGGAAATGGTGCCATCTGCATCACCACATCCACTCCAGCAGCACTGCTATTAAATTAACAGTACATTCTGCAAAATAAAATAGCAGAGACCCGGTTCTCGGGGAACCAGTTCAGTTTCTGTTTAACCTTTGGCGGATAGAAACACATAGCCAGTTCCATCATGTCTAGTCAATCTGTAGCTAAGAGCTGTGTCCAATTTCCCTGACCAAAGGAACTGAGAACCAAAAAAGGAAAGGGAAAAGTAAGAAGACATTAGTTTCCTAAGTACAAATATAAATAGGTTTCAGTTGAGTAAGCTTCAATGTACCCGATTGTATAAGAATTGGCTGACCAATCTGAAATGGATTCAAACATTAGGATTAAAGATATATCTGCAGAATGATTTCAGGTCTTCCAAATAGAAAGTACATTAAGTGTTTTTCCAAATGACATTTTAAATGTAGATTTACATAGTGGATCTTTGTGGTATAATTTTAGGTTAATTATTACTTCTATTATTGGAAACTTTCCTATTTTGTAAATTTTGATATTTCCTGAAGGTAATTTTGCATTAGCCAGTTTTGACATAACAAATATTAAGCAACATTCAATTTTTATCCCAGGAAAATTCTTTCACCTTCTGTCTGTAACACACAATAATAGTAACTATGGGATTTTTATTTTTGCCAGGACAAGTGTAACCACCCCCTGCAAATAGTCAGTTTCACACAAAATCTTGTGAAATGGACCATTGGAGAAACCTGAGCATATTTAGAAATATATTTTTTGCTTTCTATAAGTTTCTTTAAAGTTTTATGACTATATGGGCCAAGTCCCAGTCCCCCAAAATAAGATGCTTGCAAGGTGAGCAAGACAATGCTGGCCATGAAACACTGTAGTTACTGAATTCAGTTCACTTGAAAGGGACATTAATCTTCATGTTGTCCCCTTCCATCTACACTGAAGGCTATTTAAGGAAGTTGCAGGGCCTCGGCAGCATGCAGCAATGTAGTACAGTGACTGCATTTCTGTACCAAAGGTTTTGAAGGTGGTGTATGGCATAAAAAATTCAAGGTTAAGATAAATTGAACTTTGATTTATTATTTACCTTATTTTTTTAAAAAATATCTGCTATTAAGTAAAAATATGTTTGAGGTATTACATTAGTAAAAATCAGTTGTGAATAACTTGAAGATTTTGAAGTAACTTTGATTCCAATCATGAAAAATCATTTGCATAATTATACCTGAAGTTAAATGAGAAGTAAATGTATTTATTTAAACATGATCAAGAGTTAAAACAAAAGAATATTAAATATGAAAACTTTTCATATAAATGCACATATATAAATAAATGCATATATGTTCTAAATAAAAATAAGAATAAGCACAAAATTAAACATTTACCTTTTGTTTGTATTTTCCTTTCAGGCTTCTCCTCCTTTTCGCTTTTTTCTTTGCGCATTTCTAGGGGGAAATAGAATTTATATAATTTAAAAACTCCTTTTTAAAATCTACAAAATATAAACCATAACTATGACTAAAACTTTATAACTTTACCATGAAGTTTACATTTTATCTAACAAGTTTATGTTTGTTTAAAAGGAAAAGGTTTGTTAGCATATTGCTATATAAATTATTCATCTATTGAAATAAAGAAAGGAAAATGAGTTACCTCAAATTAGAGTTATTTGAAAAAGCTTAAAAACTTACATCGATGGGAATATGTTGTCACTGTTTTCAAAGCGAAAATTGATCACATAAATTATAATTATGTTTTATATCAGTTATTTTCAATACAAATTAAGAATTCTTAGAATGCCATTCAGATCTGGATGATTTAGTTTTTACACATTAAATTAAAAAGTTTGAGAAGTGAACTGTAACTACCTCATAAGAAATATATCTCAGAAGTAGTGACTCTGAACTACACAAGGTCTGTCCAGAAGGCATCCAGCCATGTAATATGAAAAATAGACATTTATTGAAGAAGATACAAGATACAAGAAGCATTGTACATAGGACAATGATGCCTCAGTCCCTTTCAAAGTGGGCACCTTGGACCTCACACAGTTATCCCAATCACCATTAGCTGCCCATTGTATTTTTTGAATCTCATTGACAGTCTGAGATTTTTTTCCTTTCAAAGGTGATTTTAGTTCTGAGAAAAGCCAGAAGTTGCAGGTTGCCAAATCTGGGCTGTAGAGGGGCTGAATCACCTGGGTGATGTGATGTTTCACCAAAAAACTCTGCACAAGATGTGATGCATGAGCGGGCACATTGTCATGAAGCTGCCAATCACCAGTTTCCCATAGCTACAGCCTTCTGAATCACCCAAATATTTTCCACAGAGGAATGTTCACGCTTAACACAAAATCTGATGCAAATTCCTTGCTCTACTTGCTCAGTCATTTTGATTGCAAACAGCCACACAGTACACATGCTCACTCAACTGTGATTACTGTCCCCATTGAATAGATTAGAGAAGTCGTCATTGTTCACATATACTCATTCCAGTCCACTCTCCTTGACTGCCAGGTAACGTCAATATCCCGCAAACTGTTTTCCTTATACCAACAATGGCTAGACTTTTTCTGGACAGACCTCGTATTTAAAATCAGAATTTGGTATTGCATTTAACCAATACTTGTTGCAAGCAGATATGACCCATTTCAGAAAATAAGTTAGTTGTTACATTTTTCTAAATATCAGGTTTTAAGAAATATATTTAATTTGCTGCTGACTTCATTACACATACATAGCAAGGTTTGGAAAATGACATTAATTTTGAATTTGCAGTTAATTTGGATAGAAGCAAATTTGAAATTAGAGTTTACAAATATGATTACTTCCTCGGAGAAGTTACTTGATCTTAAATGCCATGGATTTTCTTAGAAAAATGCTAATGAGGTTTACTCATTTATTTATTTACTACAACTTTATTCCACAGATTACCTGGCTTGGTGCTGATTAACGTATACATTTAAAATTCTCCATTTATAAATTTGATTTTGTATTTTTGTAATTTTTCTACAAGTTGAAAATTAAGATTAACCATAAAGAAATCCTGAATATCTTCAGAAAAGACAATGACTAACTTTTGTGCACCTGTTAAGGAGGTAATCACCACTGTGAAGATTTCCTTCCCTCATTTTCCCCATTAATTCATCACCACACTGTATGCAGGGCCACTGCTCTACCTTTATCCCATTTCTGACTTTGAGCATGGCAATGGAGATACAAAAGAGTTAAGATATTTAGTCACATCTCTGAAAAAAAATTCACCAAGGTGCAGGACATAGGAAACTCCACAGGGAATAGGAAACTTCCATCTTCCTGGATCTCACAGTATATTTTTATCTCTTCTTTATGCTTCTCCAAATCTTACTTCAAAGCAGGGTTTCTCATCTTAACATCACTGACTTCATGGGTTGTGTGAATCATTATCTGGTGTGCACTGGGTCTATTATGTGCATTATGTGCTGGTTTTTGGCAGCATCCCTGGTCTTTGCCTATTAGATACCCATAGTCTCATCTCCAGCAATGACAATGAAAAATGTCTTTAGACATTGTCAAGTGCCCCTGTAGGACAATATGATCCCCAAGAATGTGTTCAGATAGCTCAAAATTAGATGGTTCTTTTGCTTTTCCTATGCTCTGGAGTTCTATAATATTTATATAATTATAAAACAAAAATAACGTTGCATTGTAATCTATCATACATATCTTCATGTGTGGGACTTTTGATCAGCATTTTAAGGAATGCATTCTGATTGGAAAGGCATAATAAAGTTGCATCTTACAGACTACAGGCAGAAAGGCTCACATAAACCTCATTACACATTAAAGGCACTCCCACACAGAACTCGTATTTTTAGAACTGATCCAAGAATGCAAGATAATCAGGCTAATTGCTGTTTGTCACTATTTAGACTTACAATCTCCAAAGCAGAACCACTAGACACATGTGCATATAGAGCAGGTGATACGTGGTTAGTCCAAACTGAGATGTGATATAAGTGTAAGTATACACTGAATTATGAAGTCTTAGTATAAAGAAAGATGTCAAATATCTCATTAGTGATTTTATATTAGTTACATGTTGTAGTGATATTATTTTGGATATATTGAGGTGATAGTTTTACTTATCTGTCAACTTGGCTAAATTGCTACCGCCAGTCCTTCAAATGAACACTAATCTAGGAGTCACTGTGATGGTGTTTTGCAGATGTAATCAAAATCCCTACCATGAGTATCCAACCTTTTGGCATCTCTGGGCCATACTGGAAGAAGAAGAGTTGTCTTGAGCCATGTATTAAATACATTGCAACAGATAATCACCAAAAAATTTTCATATTTTAAGCAAATCTATGATTTTGTGTTGGGCTGCATTTGTAGCCATCCTGAGCCGCGTGCCTCCAGGGGCTGTGTGTTGGACACCCCTGCCTAATCCATTGATGTTAAATAAAAAAATGATCCTGGATTGTCTGGATGGGGTTGTCAGATTCCATTGAAAGGCCTTGAAAACAGGCCTGTGAGTTCCCAAGGAAAGGGAAAAAAGTCCCTTCATGGACTTCAGTTTTGGTCCTTGCCCATGGGCTCAGTTTGCCTGTGGTTTCCTTTCCTGACGCTTGGCCAGTCCCCACAATCACATAAGCCAGTTCCTTGCAATAACTGTCTTAATATATAAATATATTGGCATGATTTCCCATTGGTTCTGCTTTTCTTGTTTAGCCCTGATATCCTGACTGGATTAAATGTGTCATTAAAATTAATTTTTATTATCATTGTTTTACTTTTTAATGTGGCTACTTAAAATTTTTAAATTACATATGTGGTTCACAATTTAATACTATTGGACAGTGCTGGTCTAGTCCTTACCTGTAGGCAAATGATCTTTTCAATGTCTTAGGTCACCCACTGGGTTAAATCTTTTACAAGTGAATTGAAAAACTAAACTCAGATTTTCCCCTGCCAAACCCATCGTGCCTCCTCTCTCCTATTCAGACCAACAAAGACAGTGGAGAAAATTGGTCCCTTGTGTAATTTAGGCAGAAAAAAAAGCAGTATACTGTCAAAGAATGAGAGTGAGTGGTCTTTGGATAGGCTAAGAACACAACTTTAGGAGATGATTTCTTACTCCATGTAGAGATATATTTGAATACAGAAAAGGGATGAAATATTGTAAATTAAAATGTTACATGAAATGGTACACTTATTATGAGATGAGACCACCTTAAAATGGTTATTTAGAAGAATACTTTTCCTTGAGAGGGAGGGTATGTGTGTGTGTTTATATTACACAGACATCTGTTGACCACTGAGAAGAATAAAAGAAAGATTATGGAATCACACAGACTATAGACTGTGTGATTCCTCAGGAGGATCAGATCTGAGTTAGAATCTTCTGCAGAATTCAGAGCTGAAAACATCCTTCCTGGATAATTCTGTCATTGCCCCCTTGCCTATCCTATTCTGAGGAAATCCACTATTTGGACAGTGGTATGGCACTAGCCATTCTGTGTTGTTCTGTGCCAGTTTTTCTTGCAGGGTAGGTGGAAGCTTGCACATCAGAGAACAGAGGAAAGAAGCAGTAGCCAGGGCTTCCTTGAAGCTCCTTAGTACTGCCTCTTGCATATGCAGCAGCATCCTGTCAAAGGGGAAGGGCTCTAGACCGTACTCAGAACCAAAATAAGCAGGGGTCCATCCTAGAGGTAACCAAATAAATGAAAGAAAAGGAGTCTCTAAAAGACTGGGGCCATGAACACTGAACAGGAAAAGGCCAGGGAAATGCTTTCCCTCCACCATTTCCCAAACATGAAGGGAAGATCAGCCTAGAGTGGAAGGGAAATCCTGGCATGCTGGTTATACTTCCAAAATAAATTTTACATAAGGAAAAACAAACATAGATAAAGCTAAAGAATTAGACTGAAAAAGTGACAATATATTTCAGAGCATTTATTGTTTCCTCTCTGGTAAATGATTGGACACAACCCAGTTATGGGACTCAGACCAATCTCAAAGATAAAGCCCCATTTTTATTAGTTTTCTGATTCTACACTTCAGCCTAACACAAACCAAGATAACCCCAATGCTCTGGGCATATCCACTCAGACTTTTTATAAGTAGAGGTTATAGATTAAAACACACACACACCCACACATCTCCACAGCTCAGAATGGACAGAAATATGATGACTTACATAGCACTTTTTTTGCAGGAGCATCATCAACTGAGTTTTTTAACCGATGATCACCTAAAGACCATTACTATTTTTATAGAGGCAAGTGTAGGCAAGCACAGCTAACCTTGTAAAGACACACACACACCCCTACATTTCTTTTCTAATAGAATACAACAGAAATTCATTTCTGATGATTCAAACTTAAAAATTAAATGTCTCTCTGCATGTTTTATCGCCACATTGCATTTTCTTTGGGGATTGAATTCCATCACTGGTGTCACTG